GGTAAAGCAGGAAGTACAGGTTAACCAGAAGATTTCACTAAGATCACTGATGAAGGTGGCTACACTACACTAAACAACAGATTTTCAATACAGACAAAAGAGCCTTCAATTCGAAGATGCCATCTAGGACTTTTAAAGCTAAAGTAAGTCAATGTCTGGCTTCTAAGATTCAAAGGATAGACTGACTTTCTTGTTGGGACCGAATGCAACAGTGGCTTTAAGTTGAAACCAATGCTTACCTGACATTTCAAAACTCCTAGGCCCTTAAGAACTATGCTAAACCTACTCTGTTTGTGCTCTATAAATGAAACAACAAAGCCTGGATGACACCACATCTGTTTCCAGAAAAGTTTACTGAATATTTTTACCCACTGTTGAAATATACTGCTCAGAAAAAAATATTCCTCTTAAAATATTCCTGCTCACGCCTGTAATCCCAGCACTTTGGGAGGCCGAGGTGGGCGAATTACAAGGTCCAGAGATTGAAAGCTTCCTGACCAACATGGTGAAACCCCGTCTCTACTAAAACTACAAAAATTAGCTAGGCGTGGTGGCACGCACCAGTAGTCCCAGTTACTCAGGAGGCTGGGGCAGGAGGATTGCTTGAACCTGGGAGGCGGAAGTTGCAGTGAGCCGAGATTGCGCCACTGCACTCCAGCCTGGCACCTGGTGACAAAGCGAGACTGTCTCAAAAAAAAAAAAATTCCTGCTCATTGACAATGCACCTGTCACGCAAGAGTTCTGATAGAGATGTACAACAACATTATTGTTGTTTTCATGCCTGCTAACATCCGATCTGCAGCCCATGCATCAAGGAGTAATTGTGACTTTCAAGTCTTATTAGCTGGGCATGGTGGCTCACACCTATAATCCTAGCTACTCTGGAGGCTGAGATGACAGGACTGCTTGAGGCCAGGAGTTCAAGATCAACCTAGTCAACACAGTGAGACCCCCATCTCTAAGAAAAACTTTTTAAAAATTTCACAGGTGTGGTAGTGCATTCCTATAATCCCAGCTACATGGGAGGCTGAAGTGGGAGGATCACTGGAGCCCAGGAGTTCAAGGCCACAGTAAGTTATGATCATGCCACAGCACTCCTGCCTGGGAGACAAAGCAGGACCCATTTTTAAAACTCTTATTATTGAAGAAATACATTTCATAAGGTTATAGCTGTCATAGATAGTGATTCTTCTTATGAATCTGTGCAAAGTAAACTGAAAACCTGAAAAGAATTCGCCATTCTAGATTTCATTAAAAACATTCATTGTTCATAAGAACTGGTGAAAATATCAACATTAACAGGACTCTGGAAGTTGACTCCAACCCTCATGGATTACTTTGAAGGGTTTAAGACTTCAGTGAAGGAAGTAACGGCAGATGTCATGGAAAGAACAAGAGAACTAGAAATGGAGCCTAAAAATATGACTGAATTGTTGCAATCTCATAATCAAACTGGAACAAATGAGGAGTTGCTTATGCTTGAACAAAGAAAGTGCTTTCTTGAGATGGAATCTGTTCCTGGTGAAGATGCTGTGAACATTGTTGAAATGACTCAAAGAATTTAGAATATTAAATAAACATAGTTCATAAAGCAATGGCATTTGCTTTTGAGGGAATGAACTCCAATTCTGGAAGAAGTTCTACTGTGGATAAAAACTGGTATCAAATAGCACTGCATGCTCCAGAGAAACCTTTCATGAAAGGGTCAATTGATGTGGCAAACTTAATCATCGTCTTGTTTTAAGAAATTACCATGGCCACCCCTACTTTCAGCAACTACTACCCTAATCCATCAGCAGCCTTCAATACTGAGGCAAGACCCTCTACCAGCAAAAAATTACAACCAGCTGAAATGAGATGAGCGTTAGCACTTTTTTATCAATAAGTTATTTTTAATTTATAGCATATACATTTTTTAGACATGTTATTGCATACTTAGCAGACTACAGACTACAGTGTAGAGTAAATGTAACTTTTGTATGCACTGGGAAATAAAAAAATTTGTGTACCTCTCTTTAGTGCAAAATATTCACTTTTTGTAATGGTCTGGAATGGAACCTGCAGTATCTCCAACATATGCCTGTAATTAAGTCTTGCTTAAGAAGCTAGAGAAAGAGCAGCAAATTATTTTTGAAGTGGGGAGAAGAAAACATAAAAATTTTAGCATAAGTCAATAAATAAAGAGCAGCTAAAGTCAAAAGTTGGTTCTTTAAAGAGATTAATACAATTGATCTACCTTTAGCAAGTTTGGTAAACAGGAGAAAATACATATTATTACTATTAAATATTTTTAAAATATCTAATTTAAAATGTAGATTCTCCACATTTTAAAAGAATGATACTGGAACATTATTTAAAATTTCATGTCAATAAAACTCAGTATCTCAGATGAAATGTACAAATTTCTTTAAAAATACAAATTTTGAAATTTACAATGGAAGGAAACTGAACATCTAAATGGCCCTATAACTATTAAAGATATTAAAAACCTTTCCACAAAGATAACTTGAGGCCCCATTTGCTTCAAAGGTGAATTCTAAATATTTAGGGGGAAAAAATACACATCAAACACTAACTTAATAGAAGTAGAGATAACATTTCCCAACTCATTTTACAAGACCAACATAACTCTGAAACAAAAGCCTGACAAAGAGATTATAAGGAAAGAAAACCAAAGTTCACTATCCTTCATGAATAAAAAATCCTCTTAAAGACTGAAAACGGTAATTTTTTTTTATAAAAGACACTGTGGTCAACTAGGGTGTCTAAAAGAAATTCAGGGTTGGTTTCGCATTTCCCACTAGTCTCATCCTCCTCCACCTATCAATCACATTTTAAACTCAGTAATCTGTATCAAACTAAAGGATATCTCAAGCCTCGGAAACACTATATCTAATAAGCAAACTTCTTTACATCCCCCAGGTCTCAGTTTAAAGGCTACCTTTTCTGGGAACAAAATAATTTACAGTAATTTGCTGAAACTCTTAGAATGAAAGACAAAAGAGAAGAAAAGGTGTGGCAAATGTGTAAAACCAAAGTATCCTCAGAGAAATTAAAATATATCACATCCAATAATATGTTATTTGCAATTAGAAATAATGTTTGTAATATAAAGCCAATGAAATTTCTAAGACGTAAATATTAAAAAAAAATGAAGAGCTAGAAAACAGAGGGTAACAAAATTTAAATTAGAGGCTCAATCCAAAAGGCACAATGTCCTAGTAAGGGGATTGATTTTAAAAAAAAGAAAGTCCAGAAAGAGGAAGAAAGTCTTTACCAAAAGATATAAAGCAAGAAAATATAAGCTTCCAGGCTGAATAAAGCCCACTAGATCCCCAGCATAATGAATAAAAAGGTACAACATCTTGAATATTTGGAACAAGTTAATACAGATGGTAAAAATGTCCACGGTGGGGTGAGAAAGGAGAAAGAGGAAGAAGAGGAGGAGCAGGAATAAGAAAAAGAAGAGGAAGAAGAAAAAACCCACTACAGCTCACACATAAAGGATGAGGAAAGAGAGTAAGATCATATTTCTCAACAGAAATATGAAAAGCTAGAATACTATGAAGCAGTGCCTCTAACTCACAGGGAAAATTGTATCTAACCTAAAATTATTTGCCCAGCCAAATTATTAATCAGGTATCAGTTTAGGGAAAATAAAAATTTTTAGGCAGCAAAGTTTATTTTTGTAGAGATGGGGTCTCACTATGTCACCCAGACTGGTCTTAAACTCCTGGCCTCCAGCAAGCAATCCTCCCACCTCCGCCTCCCAAAATGCTGGGATTACAGACATGAGCCACCACACACAGCCTAGGCAGCAAGGCTTAAAACTTCCTCTCATGCATATTTTCTCAAGCAACAACTAGAGGAGTTCCTTTACTAACAAACCAAGAAAGAAGACTAGAAGAGATCCAGGAATTTCCATAAACATTGATGGGAAAAAATATTAGAATTATAATGTGTGGGAGCTCCAGAAAGCAAACAATTCTGATTGCAGAGCTCCATGAGAGATGTGATAAAGAATGAAAATGATAGCCACTTTTAATTGGGAGGAAATTTACGCATCTTAATGGAGACTAATTAATGATAGGGTACACAAAAACTAAGCAAACAAAAAACATAGTAATTATAAACATAGTAATTAACTCCAGGAAAAACAAAGACAGGAAATGTGATCATACATACTAAACCTCAATGGTGACAAATATTTACATATTTTAAAAATGTAGACAGTGAACACTGATTCAACCAAAAACTGTCAAAAACATGCTGGAAGGATGGAAGGAAAGGACACGTACGTGTGTGTGTGTGTGTGTGTATGCATGGTTGTGTATGTGTGAGGTGGACAAACTGTAAAATATCTAAATCCCAAAAAAATCTCATTTTCCATAACAGAAGCTCCATAGATATCGTTTTTAAAAGTGCAGAGATAAGAAATAGCAGGGAAGTCTTTTGTTCTGTTTTCAAAACTTGTTAAAACTGACTTTTTAAACTATATACATAATTTAGTAAAGTTTTAATTTATAAATTACTTTACAAGATTATGATAAACTGCAGAAAAAGTATAAACTAATCTATTATAGCATCAAAGCTGAGATTAAAAGTCTTAACAGAAACTTTTTCTTTTAAAATAAAAAAAGCACAATTCCTAATAAAACCAGTGGTTTTATTATTCAGGACAGAGGTTCTTCTTAAATGCACATTAGCATTAGACTTAAAACTTAACTAAGTTCTTATAAGCATTCTGCTGCATAATTAAATTCATTTTGTTCTCAAGTAGCATTCTCTATATGGTTTACTAAAAATTAAATTCTGTTTATTAATTATCAACTCTCAAATTCAAATAAGATGGTTTATCACATATACTTATTCTGTATTATACATACGCACGTATATTTGGGAATAGCTTTTTGCCTTTCTTGAGTCCTAGTCCTAGAAATCTCCAGATGCTTTTTCAGTCTCACAATGCTAATACAGTATATTTTTTTATTGCATTTTAGGTTTGGGGGTACATGTGAAGAACATGCAAGATTGTTGCACAGGTACACACATGGCAGTGTGATTTGTTGCCTTCCTCCCTATCACCCATATCTGGCATTTCTTCCCATGCCATCTCTCCCAAACTCCCCACCCTCCACTGCCCCTCCCCAATTTCCCCCCAACAGACCCCAGAGTGTGATGCTCCCCTCCCTGTGTCCATGTGTTCTCACTGTTCAAATACCTTCTTATGAGTGAGAATATGCAGTGTTTCACTTTCTGTTCTTTACAGTGTATTTTCATTGGATAGAACTTTTTATTCCAAAAGCTTACAGGGAGGTAAATTTTCATTTTAGTAGGTTCAATTATTTTGCTATTAAAGAAAAATGCCCCTGAATACTATTTTTAACCTAAAAATTATACATGACAAAGTATTTCAAAGCTTTATAAAAAGTAGTTTAGATTTAACTTAATTATATATTTTAGATCTGATATATAGCAAATTAATGGTGCTAATGTTGCAAAGTGATCACTTTTTCTTCTATTTCTGGAGATGCACTTCTCCTATGACCATACTCTCCTTTATTCCAGTCTATATACTTAATTTTTAGTAACCAAACCATTCCAGTATTCATGTTCACATTGTTTAAAAAGATTTCTTCAAAAGGTAACATTTATATTAATAGGCATTTTTTAAGGTCACTGTCCTAAATCTAAAGAATATGAATTTTTATAGATAGTCATGATTTTTTCATACATTCAACAAACAGTAGATACCGGGCAGGATTCAAAGATAGACAATTCATACTTCCCACCCTCAATAAGCTTAAAATCTAATATAAATGCCCATAGTAAACAGTTAGACAAAACAGTAGCAGCAATCGAGCTCAAATCTGTGAACATGTTGCAAACTACAAAATCTGTAGGCCAACTTCAAAATAAGTGTGTCCAGAGAAAAGACCAATCACTGAAGCTTACTTCAGTTCTCCTAACTACTATTCATTTCCCCAGCATTCTTTCAGATGCTATTAAAGAGCAGAAAAGTAGTTACATAGGTCCATGCAAACCTGAAAAGGATAATGCAGTTCCTTCCAGAGGATGTGAAAGAGCTAGTACTAAAACTGCTTTCTGCCACACACAGATCACTATCTCAAGTCACTGAATACTATGTTCTTGAGAGCTTAAAATACTATTTTGGGGTATTATCATTTTAAAAAGTAATAATTCCACGACCTAGGGTATTGAGAGTTTAACAGAACACATTTATGCAGAGTAAGTAAACAGACACAGTAAACTATGTTCTCCAATTAAATATGTCACGGCATTTACAAAAAGGAAAACTTGAAGGCAGCAAGCACAAAACAGCAAGAATAGGAACTGTTTTTAATAAATGTCAAAGAGAAAAATATGGAGTATGAAAGCAATGAAAAACAATCTTGCTAACTATCCTGTATATTCTAGATAACCAAGCAAGTCTGAACGTTGAAAAGTTGTTCAATGCACTAAGCAGAAATCCTAAATACTCAATTCTTATTTTGGCTTTACATTTCTAATTTTTTATTTTGTTGTTATTTCTGTATTTTTTCAATAGTGTTACATATGTAACTTGAGTGAGAAATAAAAGGAACACAACTAAGGAACATGGCTGACAGTTACCATGAATATATTAAACTTTTACCTTCTAACATATTTCTTCTAACATATTTCCCTTTGCCAAGATTAAAACTTTTTTTTCCACTATAATCATATATATATGAAAATTCACTTATGCCAATGCACAATCTTATTCCATCCTAGTATCTTCCAAGTGTTAACTGGGTAATTCGAAATTATTACTGAAAATTGTTAATAGTGAGAAACATCAATATTTAAATTACGGATTGAAATCAAAAGCAGGGATGTAAGAAGAAAAGAGTAAAGTGATTGTGACATACACACAATTATTAATACTTTTAAAATGCATCTACTAGAGAACATGTACAAACTAGGAAAATATCAAATTTTTAAGCAAAAGCTAAGTATAAAAATATCTTTTAAATAGTTTTTTCAATAGTATCCAATAATAAAGATGAAAAGAAGCAGTTATGTTTCTGTCATATAAATCAGCATTTTTCTATGTTGGCAAAGATACAACTGAATAATTAACTCAATGCAAAGAACATCATTAAGAAGAATAGTGGGATGACTAAAGGTTAAAATATTTTTATTTCTGTAGCTAACATCAGTCTTATTTCCACTTTGTAAGATTTTGCTGTTGTTCTTGTGTGTTTTATTTGTGATGTTGCATGTGTAACTTGCCTGAATGAGAAATGAAAGCAACAGAACCAAAAGGATCTTCTGGAGGATGGTTATGTGGAGCAGAAAGTGAGTCTACATTCTTATCTGAGGATGCTCTCTCCTTGAGCCTATCTGCAAAAATAAGATAAAATGAAATAAAAAAATGAAATAAAATAAAAATGATATTTAAATTAAAAAGTGATATACAATATAAATAAAAGTGAAAAAGCAACAGCCTTTTTGAAAAATATTAGGTTCAGAATCTCACTGTAAATATTTGGGAGTAGTCCTGAATCTAATACATATTTGTTGCTACAAAAGCAAGTTTAGTAATATAATCTGTGACAGATTGTACTAAATACAATTAACCTAATAATAAACTTAGTCTGTTTCATTTAAATACTATTTGCCCTCAACTTATAACATATTGGGCCTGAACTCAAATCCAGCTAAATAAACAAAGACATATTTGACAAACTGTCTCTAAAAAGAAATTTAAAAAAAATATTGCAAATGGTCATTCATCCATAAAGTAGGTAAATCTTACTTCTCAATAGCAATAAAAAGTAATTCACTATATTTTACTTTTTTGTTCATTTTTCATACTACTTCGTATTATCAAACCATGCTCTCACACACACAAACACAAACACACATCCCTCCACACATATACACTCACAAAGACTTAGATAAAAACAGAGTTTACTGATTCATCCGACAAGTAAATTTGAGTATCTAGTATGTGCCAATGTGCCAGGCACTATTCTAGGCAACTGGCATGTAATGTCAAACAGAACAAAGACCCCTGCCCTTATGCAGTTTACATAGCAGTGTGAAAAAACAAATAATATGCAATAGGCATAACAAGAAATGTATACAGCATGTTAAAAGCTATAGAGAAAAATGTAGTGCAGGGTAACAGGAATTGCGGGAGTAGGTAGAGGCTGAAGTAATAGATTCTAATAATAGGTAAGAAAAGACTTGAAGGAAGAAAGGGAGTGAATACCTACAAAAGAACAACCAGGGAGAGAAAGAGTTGGAGCAAAGACTCTAAGGCAAGAGGCTCTGTGTGTTTGAGCTGATACAACCTGACTCCCTAGTCATGATTATCTTTTCCCTGCTCTTGAACTCTCCATATAGGTCAGGGGCTCACACCTATAATCCCAGCACTCTGGGAGACAAAGGCAGGAGGATTTCTTGAAACCAGCCTGGGCAACACAGAGAGATGTTCTTTGATTTTTTTCAGCAAGCATGTAATAAAATTTGGATACCTCCTGATCTTTACAGAATGTTAACTTCACAATATTCTGTAACAGTCATTAACACACACATTCCTTTAAAAATGCAAAAATACTAACAAAAATCGAGGCAGCAGTGAGCCAAAATCGTACCACTGCATTCCAGCCTGGGTGAATGAGACAGTGAGACCCTGTCTCTAAAACAAACAAACAACAAACTCTCCACATAGTAGATACACACTAGTTGAGAACTTCTGAGAACTTCCTGATTTTTGTAGTATGTCTCTCTAGCCTCTGATTCTTGGTAATCAAAATGCTATTTGGGACTCATTCTACCTCCTTTCCAGATATTTCAAGCATTTCTGTCAGCAGATTTTTGGTCCACAGCCATTTCAAAAAATCCAAATCATGTTTAGACTGACCTATATTCCAAGAACTCCATGGTGAGCTGTACTGGTTTTAACTGAGTTCTAAGGGACTGCAGTGTGGAGCGGGGGCGGAATCTAACCAGAATTGGAATTCCCTAAAAATGACTTTTAATTTCGGAGTGAAGCAAAAAGCCCCAAGTTCAAGCAGCATCTCTTCTAACAGTGCTTTTAAAATTTAATATACATTCTAGTTACCTGGAGATTTGTTAAAATATAAACTCTGATGGGATGCGTTTGGGGAGGATCCTGACATTCCGCACTTCAACTAGATCCCAAGTGATACTGATACCGCTGTCCAAGAAGTACACTCTTGAATAAACAAGGCCCTAGACTCTATAATATTCTAAATATAATTACTCCTATGGGCAACTAATTCTTTCAAAACCTTTATGACAATGGATACAATTACCAGTTTTATAGCTAAGATGAACTCTGTAATATCTACATGAAACTTTGGATTGTTTAAATTTTTACTTAAAATTTTGTTGAAACACTATTAAACATTTTGTTGAGGCAGTAATACTGAGTTAGTAAATAAATCTGACAATTGATTTATGAACAAACAAAACTTCCTAAACTCAAGTGCTACTTTTCAAATCCAACACTGCACTGGTCAACAATAAAAATTTATTTTGGGTATTATTTTTCAAGATATTAACTGTATACGTAATGCAGGAAATCAGTAACAAATGCTCATTTTACTAAAGATTTTTTATTGTTTTGTTTTAACGTACCTATTAAGGAGCAGCTAGTCCTATAACATCTTTCTGCAAAAGGTTGAAGAATAATTTATATAATGAAGGGTCCCTAACTTATCGTGGTGGAAGGCTGCAATCAAACCTCAAGGAGAGGCTTATGAGTCACTGAATCATAGAGATTACATGTGGTTACCTATTTATTTGGGCCCTGAATGCATTTATGGAGTAACTGTAAAACCAGGAATTATGCCTTGTATCAGAATCCTCCTGGACTCCCCTACCCTTCCCCATTTCCCAAATTCCAGTGTATAAAGCACTGAGGACAGAGAAAAGAGGGCGTGAGGAAGAACAAATGGAAGAGACAGACTTAGAGTGATAATGACAGCATATCAATATCCAAGGGCCTCATTCCTGAAAATTAAGACCAAGAGTATAAGTATTTAAGTCTGAATTAGCAACAGACTTTCTGCCTCAACCATCTGCATCAAAAGTGCTAGGATTCCTCTATAAAATGTAGTTATCTGGACCCTACCACAGACCTAATGAACCAAGTTATCTAAGTAGTAATTTAAGAATCTGCCTCTTTAGAAACTGTTTTTATTTTTATTTTGTTGTATTTTATGCTTTGAGGCAGGGTCTCACTCTTTCACCCAGTCGGCATGATCATGGCTCACTGCGGCTTCAACCTCTCAGGTTCAAGTGATCCTCCAACCTCAGCCTCCCAAGTAGCTGGTACTACAGGCACAGGTTACCATGCTCAGCTAATTTTTTTTTTTTTTAAGAGATAAGCTCTCACTATGTTTCCCGGGCTGGTCTCAAACTCCTGGACTCAAGCAATGCTCACAAAGTGCTGGATTACAGGCATGAGCCACCACACCCAGCCTCTCAGCGCACAATTGTTTGTTTTTGAGACAAGAGTCTCACTGTGTTGCCTGGGCTGTAATGCAGTGGCATGATTTTGGCTCACTGCAACCTCTGCCTCTAAGGCTCAGCCTCTAGAGTAGCTGGGACTACAGGCACATGCCACCAAACTTGGCTTTTTTTTTTCTTTTTTTTGAGATGGAGTCTTGCTCTTGTCACCAGGCTGGAGTGCAATCTCGGCTCACTGCAACCTCGGCCTACTTCAGCCTCTTGAGTAGCGAGGACTACAGGTGCATACCACCAAGCCTGGCTAATTTTTTGTATTTTAGAAGAGACAGGGTTTTACCATGTTGGCCAGGATAGCTCGATCTCCTGACCTTTTGAGCCATACACCTCGGCCTCCCAAAGTGCTGAGATTATAGGTGTGAGCCACTGCATCCAGCCAATTTTTTTTTTAATTTTTGGTAGACATGATGTCTCACTATATTGCCCATGCTAGTTTCGAACTCCTGGCCTCAAGGGATCCTACCACCTCAACCTCCACAGTACTAGGATTACTGGCATGAACTGCTACACCCGGCCCTCTCCATGTATTTAAATCACAACTATACTAATGATTCCCAGCTTATAAAACTGTGAAGTTGTCACTAAGGTTCTCTGAATCCTCATGCACTGGTGTATTAAATCCATCTGTTTGTGGCAAATTTATGGTAAGTATATAACAAGTACTGTGAACTATGACACAACTATAAACATTATCATGTAGGGGTGAACTTATTTTTATATAGCCGTCCCTACAAGTAAAAATATGGAAGATACTGTTCTATGCAAAGTTTATTTATCCAGTTATTTCAAAATAGCAATCAGAATAAATTCATAGTAAAATGAATAGTGTTACTGTTCCACAAAACACAGAACCAACTTTTCAATGGAATTTTTAAAAAATCATTTAGGTTTCTAAAGTTCACATGAAAATGTGGGTCTCAGTACACAAAATACAAAATAAATATACATATTAATTTTGTAATTATTAATTACCTATAAATAAAATATAATGAAATGGTGATGTAGAGCTACCTTGAAAATGCACCGTCATCTCTAAAATGTTTTTAATTACCATTTTCAAATGACTGGTTTTCTTTAGATTAGGACAAAGCTTGATTATCCAATATAAGAAACTTACCTCCTGTCTTCACAAAAGAATTATGTTGGTGAATAAAGACAGTATCTTTCTCAAGAATTTTAGTTGATACAAATAGAAAAAAATATAGGATTTTAAAATCCTAGAATCAAAGTATATTCCATAATATCATCATGAAATTAAAATACTCTACAAAGTTAATTATGCTGCTTATATGGATAATGATGTTAAAGGCTAAAAGGCTAATGAATAAGGTTTAAAAGTGCAATCTTCATCTGATACTCTTGAAACTGTTGAAAAGTTCTGTTATTCTGCACTAAAGGAACAGTAATAGTTCCAAATTTGCTAAAAAAAAAACTATAAGGGTTAATATTTTACAATAAACTATTGATTCAGATGCTTATAGACATATCATTTGATGGCTTCATAGATGAAACAAAAACATTCAGTAGAATTTATAAAGCAATCAAAATTTTTAGTATCTTCTATTTTTCCTTTTAGTTATTTTGATCCAACTTTAAGCAGAAACAAACAAATCTACTATCAACAAATAAAATATATTTCATGAAGTACTAGTTTTAGTTAACAGGTAGAACTACACACTATATACACAAATATAAGTTAATAATTTCCCCAAAGCAAGCATTTGTATTCTAATTACTGTTTAATATATTAAATATCATGACAATTTTAAATTGCCATATTAAATAGTAAAATATGACAAATTTCTAAAGTTTACATATTAATCTAGATGTTCTGGTACAAAAGACAAGTAAAAATACAAACTTAAACTTTTAAAAATATCATTGAGACAAGCTTTATTATTAATGATTAATTTTGATTTAATATTTTGTTCTTACTAAAATTAAGAACAGATTAAAAAAAATTCTGAACTATAAATGGTATTCATTTATAGTGAAAGCAAAAGAAAGAAGAATCTAGTTTATTTTATATGTTAAATCTCTTTGCCTTGTATATGGAATCAATTGTTTCTTAAACATCACTTTTAAAAAATTATCAATTACTTATATTTTAGAATTTTAATATCTCAAAATACTATATGGAATCAACTGTTTTCTTAAAGATCACTAAAAAAAGTTATTAATTACTAGTAATTTAGAATTCTGATATCTCAAAATACTATTAGGATTTAAAAATTACTTTCTGGATAATACACACAAGTAAAATATTTCCTAAACATCATATTATTTTCCTTTTTTGTTTTGTTTTGTTTTGTTTTTGAGACAGAGTTTCGCTCTTGTTACCCAGGCTGGAGTGCAATGGCACGATCTCGGCTCATGGCAACCTCCGCCTCCTGGGTTCAGGCAATTCTCCTGCCTCAGCCTCCTGAGTAGCTGGGATTACAGGCACGTGCCACCACGCCCAGCTAATTTTTTGTATTTTTAGTAGAGACAGGGTTTCAGCATGTTGACCAGGATGGTCTCGATCTCTTGACCTCATGATCCACCCACCTCGGCCTCCTAAAGTGCTGGGATTACAGGCATGAGCCACCGCGCCCAGCCCCTTTTTTGTTTTTAAACAAATAACCATGAATCTTTTTCAAAATAAAACCCCAATGACAATGTATTATTCTGAACAGTCATTACACTGGCAATGCCTATACTTTTAAGGGCCATATAAAGGCTTTCAGTTTCTCACTGTCAAGTGTTTTATAAACCAAATATAAATTATTTTAGAAAAGACTTCAGAAAATTGTTAATAAATACCTGTGCCAAGGTAATGGGTACAAATATCCTATATGGCATTTCAAATGTATCAATCGTTTATTCATTTTGGAAAATGACAGGATTTATATTATAGTGATGGGCACAATTGTGGAGTCACTGAACCCACTATTTTGGAATTCAAAAGAAGTGAAAGTTATTAAACTTTGACTTTAGTATAATGACCAACTATCAATTTTCATTGCAGTTAGTCTTCTACTAAACTCTTAAGGTTCTAGAGGTCTTTTGCCCATCTATATAATAAAAGCCCTATCAAATAGATCAAGTACTGGATACCTTATTGCTTCTGAATGAAAGAGGTACTAAAATGACTAAATATTACAGTTAAGTTAAACTCTGAGAGGAAATCTTTCTAAACTACATTTTATACACAGCTTAACAGTAATTACAAACTTTTTCATTAAAAATATTTCACCTTTTTTGGACTCTAAAAGAGTGGGTTCAATGACCCCAAAATAGTCACTGAACAATGAATGTTAATTATTAAAGAAAAAATAGACACTGTTCCTTCACCTTCCTATCATTTGTCACTTCTGCTTCTGACATGTGTGCCCACAAAGTCCCCTCTAATTAGACTGTTAAATTACCATTGAGAAACTGATAATTTAAGTGTAATTTTAAAATCCTGGCTTTATAAAAGCCAAAAAATCTTTTAAGTCACAACATAAAGGCTTATACAGAAAATAAGGAAAGGGAAAGTGGCATTGATTTATTGAGTGCCCTGATTTAAAGACATCATTTCATTATCTGGACAGCCCTATGAAGCAGGCATCACTATCCCCAGTTTATAAATGCAGAATTGAGACTGACAGCAGTTGAGTGACTTATCTGAGATTACAACCTAGTTAAGTAACATTGTCAGGGATCAAAATTTATGTTTTCTGGTACTGTGTGCCAAATTAAGTGCATCAGACTTGGAACAATAATTTTAGTAGCTCATAGACCATCTAGGTGTTTTTCCAAATGGCTCAGGTTGCTCCAAATCTAATCTTCACATAAAATTCTTCCTGCACTTTCCTTTGGAACTTAATATCATTCTATAATTAATACTGCGAAGTCTGAACTTTCTTTGGCATACACATGTGCACAGAGATACAGGAACAATTTACAAATGTTATCTGATGATAAAGTTTAAAATTTATACATTATCTGATCATGAAGTTTTAAGGTATTCTTAAAAATAACTACTTAAGAAGTCTACACATTCAACCTAATTTTTATAAAGTTATATACATAAAGTCATATTCATATGCCACTCTTGCCTATGCTAAGTAAATACAACTATTTTGATGTCATTATAAATTCTAGGAAGCTTAGAATAACACATTTTTATAAGATACAAAATAATGCGAATACTTTACCCATTCCATAAATTGATTTTTTAAAAATAATTTTTTACCCAAGGAGTTGAAAATACTAATTTAGCAAACCCTGCTCAGTACACATTAAAATCAATAACCTTTTGCTTTAAATATAATCCTATAAATCATAATGATTTGATGATACCTTGTATCTACCTCTTCCATCACTCTGAAAGAGATACTTTGTTTTCTTTTTTAAAACCTTGCTTTTGGGCCTACTCAACATAAATTCGGAAAACACCAAACAAAAAAAGTTGTGGTTTAAAAAAAAATTGTTTAGTAAAATATGATCAGTTTTACTGAAGTTAACAAACCTTTATTAAAGGCTCAGAACTCATTTTTATATCTGCATTTAACCATCAATTTAATTTTCATAATCATGTAACCAAAATGCAAAATACAAATTTAAATCCCAAACAAGTCTTCTTACAGGAATTTTACATAAAATATATACCAATTCAGAACAGAGCATTTCATCTATTAAACATTCTCATAAGGCCAATTACCTAAATAAAATAGGAACTAGGGGCTCTAAACTAGGGACTACTAAGACCTTCTTTTCACATGCAAAAGGGAAAAACACACTTGTGTTTTATGTGTACACCTGCGCGCGCACACACACACACACACACACACACACACATACATGCACACACACACCTCAGAAACCTGAAAATTATCTACTTACACTAGAAGTGAGCTTTTTTGCTCCTATTTTGTGACCTACTGAAAACACCCACATCATTCTTCCAAAACAAGACATTTCTAAAATATGTGTGGCAAAGCAATGATTCCAAGTAAAAACATTGAGATATCTGATTTAAAGTGAAAAAGAATTTATTTAATTTTTGCCATATCAGGACAACAAAGCAGCCCTTTTATGTAACCATTCATTAAAAGGGCATTACAAAACATTAACATAATGTAGTAGCCCATGTTTTCTTTCAGGCATTTTCAAAGGGCATCTCAGACCCACAATGTTTTCTACTGGGTGTGCAAAGAAAACAGAGCTGCAAAATCATTAGCAAGGCAAAATAATAATGTTCCCCTTTTTATTGAAACATCAGTTTTATATTCTGAATTTAACATTCCTAGATATGCAATATTTAAGTCTTAGGATATTAGCATGCTATCAGCAATATTGGATTTAATAGCTACTATCAAGCAACTGATTTCTAATGCACACAACATAATTGGACAGTATTTGAATAAGAAGATGGCCTGAATTTTGCCCTCAAATGCACAAAAAGAATTTCCCATACACCATCTCAAAACAGTCTTTGGCCTTGGTGAATAATAGAGCTGTTACTTTACTGTGAAGCAAAATAAGCCTTCAAGTGTCCCTTACTTGATCTTAGAAGGTCAAATTCTCTGTCCAACAGTTCCTCTTCTGTTAACTTAGAGAAATTATCCTCTCCAAAAGGATTCCACCCTGACATATCAGGTGGGTTGCTGATGTTCTTCTGATTTGTGAAATTTGCAATGGCCTCTTTATCAGCAATTGACCTACAGTAATAATTGAGAAAGAAAAATGAAAATTAATAAAAATTTATAATGCCCTAGTTTATACTTTCTAAATACTTACAAAACCAAATCATTTCACTATGACAGAGATGACTGACAAGGGCATGAGATAGAGAGAGAGAACATGTGGGATCTAGATCACCTCCATAAGGTATACTAGCTCCATAATCACCTACATAAGGTACACTAGCTGTGTACCCTTGGGCAAGTTCCTTAACTTCTCTGCTGTAAAAAGGAGTAATAGTATCTACCTCATAGGGTTCCTGAGAAGATTAAATAATTTAATACACATAAAGCAAAAACAACAGTACCTAGTAAAAAAAAATAAGCACTTAATAAATATTAACTATTATTATCATAGTAAACAAGCCTTAAAGTAAAATCCAGTCAACTTATCAAACAGTATCACTCTAAAATCACTACTGAATACAGTGATCAAATGTCTTGGTTATGCTGGGACACCACAATAATTTTCTGTTTGATAAAGGCATTCCCTATATATAGCTATCAACAAGATGCATTGTTAGGACTGCTTTATAAATTAGCTAAAGTTAAATGAGGGTTATTCTGTATATAATAGATTATTTATAGCATTTAAAGTATCTAGACTTGGAGCCTGAGACTACTGATTCTATGAAAATTAGGGCTCTTGGCTTTTAAGAGAAGATGAGAATCTAAAGACTTCTTAACCCAAGAGTTCTTGTGTACTTCTTCCTCGACCCAGCCTGGAAATACAGTCATGTACCACATAACAACCTTGAGTCAGCAATGGATCACTTATATAATGGTGGTTCCATAAGATTATAATGGAGCTAAAGATTCCTATCACCTAGTGACATCACAGCCATTGTAACAGCATAGCACAACAGATTACTCATGTGTCTGTGGTGATGCTAATTTGAACATACCTACTGGGCTGCCAGTTGTATAAAAATATAGCAATACGACTGTGTACAGTACATATTTGATCATAAATGACTGTATTACTGCTTTTATGTATTTACTATACCATATTCTTTTTTAGTTATTTTCAAGTATTCTCCTTCTACTTATTTTTTTAAAAGTCAACTGTAAAACAGTCTCAGGTCCTTTAGGAGGTACTCCAGAAGAAGGTATTGTTATCATAGGATATGACAGCTCCATGCCTCTTATTGCCCCTAAAGAACTTGCAGTGAGACAAGATGTGGAGGTGGAAGACAATGATACTGATGATCCATACCCTGTGTAGGCTCGGGCTAATGTGTGTGCTTGTGTCTTTGTTTTCAACAAAAAGTTTAAAAAGAAAGAAAATTAAAATTAAAAGGCAAAAAACTTACAGAATAAGAATATAAAGAAAGTATTTTTGTACAATTGTACATTTGTGTTTTGTGTTATTACCAAAAAGTCAAAACATTTTTAAATTTTTTAAAGTTTATGAAGTAAAAAAGTCATAGTAAACTAAGGCTTGTTACTGAAGAAACAATTTTATATAAATTTAGTGTGTCCTAAGTATATGGGGTTTTAAAGTTAAGTCTATAATAGAGTACGGTAATGTCCTAGGCCTTCACATTTACTCACAACTCACGCATTGACCCACCCAGAGCAACTTCCAATCCTCCAAGCTCCATTTATGGTAAGTACCCTAATCAGGTGTACCATTTTTTACCCTTTATACTACACTTTTATTCTACCTTTTCTATGTTTAGATACAAAAATACATATATACCATTGTGTTACAACTGCCTACAGTACTCAATACAATAACATGCTATACAAGTTTGCAGCCCAAGAGCAATAGGCTATATGTGTAGTAGGCTACACTAAGTTTGTGTAAATGCACTCTATGATGTTCATACAACAGTGAAATTATCTTATGATACAATTTCTCAGAACATGTCCCCATTGTTATGCAATGTATGGCTGTATAGCATAAGAATGAGACAATGTAAAAAAGCTAAGAATGCTATTAAGTTCCTTTCATAAGTTACATCCAAATCCTCTAACAGTAGTAATAAAGGGAGAATCCCAATGTTCAAAGTAGTATCTCAATTTTACAAGTCTTAACTGATTCCCTAAATTTACCTAACCCTTGAGAGCTCATTGCATTTAAGGTGCCATTGCCACCACAAATGTCTTGGAAGAGGGGAGAAAAAGGCAAAAGTCATTGAATCCCTTAGTTAAAGCCCCTTCAGCATATTTGAGCCAAGAATGGACTACTGAAATACTTACTGAAGGCTAGCATGTAAAAAAGGAAAATAAACATAGTAAGTTACCTACAAGTAGATAGACTTGCTTAGTAAATAGAACTTAGGTATCTTAATTTAAGAAACAATTCAATTAAAATACATTCTGGGGATATGTCAACTGCCAAGGTCTGAGCCTGCCTCCATGTGACAGAGTCCCATTTCTAATTCCAAAACAACCTTTAAGGACTTTCAGAGTCCTTAAAACACAGATCAGATGTGTTTTTACCCAGAAAATTGTATTGAAGAAAAAAACAAAACAGATCAGAGCAGGTAAAACTGAGAGAGATGGGCATTCCCCGTCCTGTCTGTCAATGATTCGTTTCAGAACTTTCTGATTCCCTACATGAATCACCCTCCTCCTATTCCCAAAATGAATTTATGGGTTCTCACTGGCAGACTGTAACTCAATAGGGTGCCACCTTAATCTAGTTTAAACAGGTATTAAAATATGTCTACAAGTTATCTGGCATTCCTCCCTTCAAAGGGTGAAACAGAATTTCACTGCCCTTGAACATGAGCTAGATCTAGTGACTCAATTCTAACAAATGAAATATGGCACAAGTGGCAGCCCATGACTGCCAAGATTGGGTCTAAAAAGACATTTTGGATTCCTCCTCACTCCCTCTCTTGGATCACTGACTGAGGGAGAAACCAGAATCAATAATCCCTTGTTCAAAATCATCCTTGCCTTTTCAAAGAGAAAACTCAAGCAGTCTTTTGGAGAAATCCATGTGGCAGGGGACTGAAGCCTCTTGCCCAAAGCCATGTGAGTGAACTATCTTGTAAATACATTCTTTAGCACCAGCCAAGCCTTCAGGGGACAGCCAACCCAGCCTTAACAGACATAACCAACCTGCTAAGCCACTCCTAAATTTCTGATCCAAACAAAGTATATAAGATAATAAATGTTTACTTCTATTTTAAACCATTAAGTTTTGGAATAATTTATTAGGCATGAACAGATAACTAATATAATAGGGCAATTATATCACAAGAAGATAATGTATGCATAGAAGATGTTTATTTTAACCATTATTAGAATATAACAAACAATAATACTCTCTGATATTCACACTAAAGATAAATTAATATGGTGAAAGAATAAAAAGTTTAGCAAAAGATAGTGGAAAAGAGAAAAAAAAATCATTCCAACAAAGATAGTGACTCTTTCCCTCTATCTAACGAACTACTTGGCTTCCTCTATTCTACTCAAATAGCCCTTATCCACTTAGAGACAAACATTTAACCCCAATTCTCTTCTTCCACTGACTAGGCATAAGCAGGAACATTAGTTAGAGCTCTTTTTTTTTTGAGGGAGGGATGAAGGAAGGGAGGAAGGGGGGAGGGAGGGAGGGAGGGAGGGAAGGGAAGGAAGGAATTCAAGCAATGAGAGAGACATTGCGACCTGGATCTAGAGGTTTACAAGTTGATTTCTTTTTTTTTGAGTGAAGGAAAGAAGAAAAAAATGAGTAAAGGAGAGGAAGAAAGAGGAAGAGAAAGAGGGAGAGTGAGTGGAAATATTGCTTTATTCTTAAAAGAAATAGGTATTAACAATGGCCAATCAATGTTTCATTTAAACCTATGAGTACGTGTGATGTGGTATTCACTAGAATGTTTATTTTGTGTATTTGAAGTGGAGAGCTCTATAAATATTTATTGAGTTTACTTGTTCCGGATCTGAGTTCGAGTCCTTGATATCCTTATTAATTTTCTGTCTCATTGTGTCTAAGTCTCTATGTATCTGGGTGTTAGGATCGTTAGCTCTTGTTGTTGCATTGATCCTTTTACCACTATATCTTTGTTGCTTTAAAATCTATTTTATCTGATACAAGAATTGCAACTCCTGCTTTTTATTTATTTATTTATTTTTGCTCTCCATTTGGTTGGTAAGTCTTTCTCCATCCCTTTGTTTTGAGTCTTTTGTATCCTTGCCTGTGAAACAGGTCTGGATGTAATGTTGGGTTTTGGCTGTGTCTTTTGATTGGGGGATTTAGTCAATTTAAATTTAGGGTTACTGCCCTTTGATGTTAACTGGCTGTTTTATCCATTCGTTGGTGTGAATTCTTCTTTATGTTGGTGCTCTTTACTTTTTGGTATATTTTTAGAAGGGCTAATACTGGTTGTTTCTTTCTGTGTGTAATGCTTCTTTCAGAAGCTCTTGTAAAGCAGGCCTGGTGGTAATAAAATCTCTGAGTTCTTGCTTGTTCATAAAAGATTTTATTTTTCCTTCAGTTGTGAAGCTTAGTTTGGCTGGATATGAAATTCTGGGCTGAAGGTTCTGTTCTTTGAGGATGTTGAATATTGGCCCCCACTCTCTTCTGGCTTGTAGAGTTTCTGCTGAGAGATCTGCTGTAAGTCTGATAGGCTTGCCTTTGTGGGTAACCTGACCTTTCTCTCTGGCTGCCCTTAGTATTTTCTCCTTCGTTTCAGCCCTAGTGAATCTAACGATTATGTGCCTTGGGGTTGCTCTTCTTGAGGAATATCTTTGTGGTGTTCTCTGTATTACCTGGGGTTGAATATTGACCTGCTTTGCTAGTTTAGGAAAATTTTCCTGAATAATTTCCTGAAGGGTATTTTCCATCTTGGATTCATTCTCTCCGTCGCATTCAGGTACACCTATCAAACAGATTTGGTCTTTTCACATAGTCCCACATCTCTTGGAGACTTTGCTCATTCCTTTTTATCCTTTTTTCTCTAATCTTTTCTTCGTGTTTTATTTCATTAAGGTGGACTTTGACCTCTGATATCCCTTCTTCTGCTTGAACAATTCGAGTGTTTAAACCTGTGCAAACTTCTCTGAGTTCCTGTATTGTATTCTTCAGTTCCATTATTTCACTCATACTCCTCTCTAAGTTGTCTATTCTCAATAGAATTTCATCAAACTTTTTTCAAAGTTCCTAGTTTCTTTACGTTGGGCTACAACATGTTCTTTTAACTCACCGAAGTTTGTTATTATCCATTCCCTGAAGTGATATTCTAGCACTGGGATGCGCTCGTTCTCCATCAAGGCTTGTTTCATTGTTGATGTGGAACTGTGATCATCTTTAGAGGGCGAGGCATTCTGACTTTGAGTATTCTCAGCTTTTTTATGCTGGTTTCTTCCCGTCATTGTAAGTTTATCCTCCTGTGGTCTTTGAATTTACCAACTTTCAGATTAGGTCTCGTGAGTGGGCGTCCAGGTTGTTAGTTCCCAGGGCCATAGCAGCGGCATTAAAACTGATGGTGCTTTTCTGCCCAGGATTCTCTTGTCTGGCTTCCTTCTTGTGTCTGTAGTGGGCAACTCTGCCTTCCCGGGGCTCCAAACCTCGGTCAGAAGGGGAGCTGGTCCCGTTTACTCTGCGCCTCTGCGCCGAGCGCTGCCACACTGAGGTGCCATCACAGCCGCTGCACCGGGCTCTGTTGTCGTGCTGGGGGCCCTTGTGGGTCCTCCGAACCTGTTTACTCTGCTCCGAGAGCTGCCGCGCCGAGGCGCTGGCAAAACCGCTGCGCCGGCCACGAAAGTCGCGCTGGCGACCCGTGTGATTCCTCCACTGGGGATCTACTGCTCCGTGTGACCAGAATTTGTCTGAAAGTGTGGCGTCGTCTAGTTCTCCACGCCTTCACTGAGAGCTGCAGTCCCGAGATGTTAGCAATCAGCCATCTTGGATCGGTCTCCAGAGCTCTTTTTAAATTGTTACAGAAGATATTATAATCAACATACAACCTAATATTAAATGATATAATATTAATGAAGTAGCACTGAGGTACCAAGCAGTGTTCCCACATGAAGTTCCACATTTCTAACCTTTAGTGGCTGATTGTATAATTCTTTTCTACCATATCCTTAAATACATAATTTCATAGGAGTGGAGTAAAACAAGTTTTATGCACTTTCCCAGATACAAAACCCAGAATTTCCTAACCTGGGGAATGCAAGATTGTTTTTTCGATAAATTATTTTTTAATAATTATGCAGAAATTAGAAATATCTAATGTATCAAATCTGTGATCTGTTGAACAGTATCACTACAAATGAGAATAAAGCAGGCAGTGCTATAGTAATTAATACACATTACAGACATCAGCACCTTGCAGTGTATGCCTCAAATCCTTGGATATCCAACTTCCTTTGTAATTTATCAGAAGTTTAGACAGCTTTCTAAATCATGATCATCCATTCTTATCAGTGACATAACTTTGCTTCCAGAAGCTGATAGCCTTTTAGAATATGAAGTATAAACAATATATATGCTGTGTGAGAGAAGACAGTTTAATATATTTTCTACTTTCCAACTAAATATACTAGATTTGACATTTTTGATGCTAGTTAGCATCAAAAGTGGAAAAAAGCAATCATCTAATTAATACAATAGCCTCATCAGCATCTTAAACTAAGCAATACCAAGGAGAATATCCTATTTTTAATGAGGAAAATTATTCTATTCATGTCACTAGGGGACTTAGCAAATTTATTAGATAACTATTTACATTTCACAGTTTATGTTTTAGTGGATCTGATTTGTCTAAAATGTATAATATGTTTTAATTTTATTATATACAATAATGTTACTAATTTATTAAAGAAAAAAAGCACTACATGAATAAAGCAAAAAATTGTAACCAGAGTAGATAAATAACAAAGGGTTTGGCAAATACTGATCTGGACCTTTTTTTCCCTTTTTTTTTTGAGATGGAGTCTCGCTCTGTTGCCAGGCTGGAGTGCAGTGGCACAATCATGGCTTACTGCAATCTCTGCCTCCTGGGTTCAAGCCATTCTCCTGCCTCAGCCTCCCAAGTAGCTGACATTACAGGCATGCACCATCACACCCAGCAAATTTTTGTGTTTTTAGTAAAGACAGGGTTTCACCATGTTGGTGAGGATGGTCTTGATCTCCTGACCTCGTGATCCACCTGCCTTGGCCTACCAAAGTGCTGGGATTACAGGAGTGAGCCACCATGCCCGGCCTGATCTGGATCTTTAAACTGGCCTTTGGCCATATACTGTGCTCTTTCCTTAGACAAAACTGTGCTAATTCATGCACCCCAATTCTTCCTTTAGAAAAGCAGTTCAAGAAATCAGTTCGTGTTTCTCTCTGTCTCCCCCTCCCTACCATACCTGCCCCACCGGTGATCCGTCCACGTGCACACGCGCGCACACACACACACAGAGGTTGGGAGGTGTTCTGTAGCAAACTGCATACTTTAGCTCTCTTTTGAGATGCAGTGTACAAGTATGCTACTGAGGCTGCTGTTTCTCATGCTCAACTCTGAACCAAAGCTTATAGACAACCTTTCTCAGCTGTTTCAAATCCTTAAATAGCATTGTAGGAGATCTTCTTTAATGTTCCTATAACAAAAGTCTAACAGCTCCTACTTCCTAGGTATCTATAAACATTAGGAGACTTTCATGATGGTTCTTAATTACAAGATACCAAAGCACCTGCTGTTTTATATCTAAGTTTAAGAAAATTTGTACCAAAGTTATTTAATTTATAACTCTACTAACCAATATATCTAAATAGCCAAAATATACAATTCCCAACTATGTTATGGTAACAGTATGTTTACTGTATATCATCCTAAAATATATATATATGTAAAAATGTTTGTACCTATTTAAACTAAATATATAACCTTTATGAATAAACAGTCAAACTAATTCAAAGTAATAACATGTAAGTAGCAAAAGCCTACAAGGATTTTTTTCAAATACCTAAAGTCACTTGTTAGGGTGTTGTTTCTACTTACATTACAAAAATGCTTTTATATACAAGCCAATAATTTCCTTAGCCCTAAATGCTGTTAGATGTTGCTACACCTTACCTACAAATAGCAGTTGGCAGAAGTAACTGAGGAAATGGAAGGATGGGGATATCAAGGGACCAAAGACAGGAACTAGGAAGAGAAAATGGGTGGCTCTACAGAAAGATGAATTCTAAACTAAGAGAACTTAATGACCAACCATTCAACAATGACTTCCACTTCCACAATAATTTCCTTTGCTTTCACTAGAAAAATACTTGCCTATTGGCACTATAGGAGGAGTCCATTATGGTTCCAACCTGAGCTGGAAGTGATGAAGTGTAGGAAACTAAGGCTGGTGAGAACTCTTGAGGGGAGGTAAGATACTCAGGTGATGCCTGTTGTTGAGACGGCTGATGTTGAGCTAGCATCTGCTGTTGAAAGAAAGCCTGCTGATACTGCTGCATCTGAAAAAAGAAATATTATACAAAACAATGCTCCAGTCCTAAAGCACTGCCAGCATTGCATCTATTTACTATGTTCCTTCCTTTCACATTGGTGACAAAATCAGAAACCTAAAAAACAATGCTCTGCAGGAGCAGCTCTATTACTACAAAACTACATTAAGACAAAATAAATCTTTTTGAAAAGTTGCAAAGCTAGGCTCACTTGGCCAGAATCAAAAATCCTCCTTTAAATATTTTAAGAAAAAGAGTAGCTTAAAGTCATTAATAATATTCATTGCTGTAAAAAAGGGCAAATAATTCTCTGAAGCAGATGCACTCTCCCTTTGGGTTTCATTTTTTTACTCAATAAGTATTTGCTGAATGAAAGAGATATGTGTGACAAAAGACTATAGGTAAGACATCATTTCCCTTACAAAATGACATAAGAGAAGTATGTTATCGGTCAGTTACCATGTGCCATATTCAGGTGCATGGTTCAGTGCAATTTAAAGCTGCTTGAGAATATATGACTGTCTTTGATAAAATACATGTCAAGTAGCTTACTCGAATTGATTTTGAATTATTAAGTTCTGAACAATACCATTCATACTGTGAATTCCAACACCATAATGTATACTCAGAGAAATCTCTAGAAATTAATTAACAGTTACCATTGTAGGATACTGCGATGCAGAATGTTGTGGCTGATATACCGAATGCATTAAAAACTGTTGTTGAAGCATTTGTTGCTGCTGTGTTGCATGTTGATACTACAATGAGAAAACAAACAATAATAAATGCTATTCATGCCTTTACTGTGACAGAGCCCTTTTTAAAAGTATTGATCTTACCATAATAATAATTTGAGAAATCAGTAGTCTAAACATCAATACAAAATAGCTATACTCTAAATTACTATAATTTATTAAGATAGCTTTATCAGAATTGGTTTCAAAATTACCACAACATAACAGAGATTCAATTAAAACCATTTTTAGCGCAATTTAAGGATGTTTAGAAGAAAGCTACCAAAACACATTTAACACCTTTTCCTAGATGATAAAGACCCCTGAAGTGACTGCTAACAAAACCATTACACTAAATCTACACTCTCCTCTTATCTCCCCTTCAGTGGTTACCTTCTGGGCATCTCATGGTACCTCCACTCTGGATCTATCAACCAAAACCAGGAGGGTGACAAAATCCAAGACAACATTACTTCTGAAAAGCCTATTACCACCTTTCCAACAGTAGCATTATTCGTCTGTGAACTCAAAACGTAACCTCAGATAACAGTCATTATAAACTGCTTTGCTTACTTGTGAATACTAAATGTTTCAGATGAACATTCTTTTCTTCATAAGGTCACAATGCAACCTATTTTAGAGTATTCTTAACTATCTCACTAATTGCAAATTAAATATATATTCTTTCATAATCAGAAAACTGGAAAAAGTGTTTACTTGAATCTAGAGTTCAAGGCACCCATGATACAAAAAGGAATTCACTGATATTCAATTTGCTGCATCAATTTCACACTACTTCCATATCTAAAGAAACAAAAAAATTACCTGCTGCATATAAGCATCCTGAAGTAGGTGGTGGTGGTGGTGGTGCTGCTGCTGCTGCTGGTGAGGATGACGATGCTGTAAATGGAGTTGTTGTAATCTCCAATCTCCCTGTTGTAGTTGCTGGAGTACTCTATGCTGCTGGGGTGGCTGCTGAGGAGGTCCCTGACCCAATAAAATTTCAGGGCCATTTCCAGGTCTTAGTGCCCCTAAAGACAGGTCCAAACACTTACATTAACATACTAATGATTTCAATTAAAAAGCTGGATTTCAACATGCTCATTTCAATAATAATTTAAGGCATTTATATCCTTATTTACAATATAGAAACTTCCATATGCATAGAGTTTATAGGGATTTACTTTAATTATAATTACCCAAGGAACTTAATTTTGTCATCTACAATTCTGAAAAAGTCAACATCTTAGAAACATTTCATGTTTCATGCTTCAGCTCTCCATGAACACACCATTTACATTAGTTTTTCTACATTGCTCAACAATATCATGTACTATCATGAGTAAGTATCATTATCAGTGTAATTCTCAGTCTAGCATGTCATTTTCCACCTACTGAAATTCTTACTCTTTAAAGTTCAGCTCAAATCTCTCTTCCTTGTTCCTTCATATAACACTTCCACTCAGTTTAGTACATTTCAGTCTGTCTTGCACATAGCACATATTAATGGCTTACATGGCTATTTTCTAAACCAGGGACCCTGAGGGAAAAGATGATGACTTACTCATATGTTAAGAGTCCCAAAAAACCTTTTATACAAAAGATGCGTGATAAATACTCACTGTAATAAATCTATTAACACTGTCTCCTAAACGGATATTTATTTATAAGCTCCATAATTATACCCCATGCAAATCCTATAAATAAACTTTTAAAATTAACTATAAAGATATACACTTAATGCAATACACTAATACACCATAATTTCTGTATTCTCCTCTATTAACTTACCCTACATTCAAATGCAACTGTTCAATCCTAGAGGATAAAAAGAGTGGGGAGGAAGTACACAGAGGGAGAGAAGGGTTCTTTTTTCATCAATGTTAGTGTCCTCAAACTTCCTCAGCCCTAAGTATAACAGTTTTATGGAAATAGTTTTATAACTATTTCTAACTTCTCTAATAATAAGGAAATACATGTTCATTTTAATTATCCTTGAAAATACTTATTCCACCACACAGACACAACCATCATTAGCCTTTTAAGTGTATTTCTTTCCAGTTGAAAGAGTATTAAAATAACTACTCAAAAATCATTCACCTTGAAACTTTTTATTTTTAATTCACAATAATTGTACATATTCATAGGGTACATATTGATGTTTTGATACATATTATGTACAGTGATCAGATCGAGGTAATTAGCAAAACCATCACCATAAGCATTGTCATTTTTTTGTGTGTATTGGGAACACTCAATATCCTCTTTCTATCTATTTGAAATTATAAGAAATATTATTAACTAGTCATTCTACAGTGGAATAGAACACTAGGATTTATTCTTCCTATCTAGCTGAAAGTTTATATCCTTTAGTAAATCTCTCCACACTCCTCACTTCCCCCTACCCTTCCAGCCTTCAGTATCTTGTTATCTCCTTGAAAATAACAACAGCCTTGTTATCTCCTTGAAAAGAACAACAGCCTCCTAGCTAACTTATAGGTTAAAAAAGAAATCAATCTAAAAGACAAGGTCAACATATCAAAATCTGTGGAACAAAACGCTGGTAGTACATAAGAAACTTTTTTATTTAAATGTGTATGTGAAAACTAACAAGACAGAAAAAAATAAACTAATGAAAATAAAATCAAAGAAAATAGAAGGAATAAATTAATAATGACAAAGTCATAAAGAAATAGTGAAATAAACAACAGAGTTAATCAATAAAACCACAGTTTGACTACTGGTTCTAGTTCTTTGAAAAGATCAATAAAAGGGATAAAGCTCTGGGCAAGTCCCATCAAGAAAAAACAGTGAAGATATAAATAAACACTGTAATGAGAGAAGTGACAGACTATAGACATGAAAGTAATTAAAAATGCTATCTACAATTTTATGCAAATAAATTTGAAAATCTAAACAAAATCATTTTTAAATACATATATAAATTATAAACTCAAAAGGTAAAAAATCTGAATAAATCCGTAAAACTCAAATAAGTTGAAAATATGATCATGTTTCTAACTCTACAACATGTACCAATTCAGTTAAGCTCACATTTAAAGAAACAGAGCTTAGCTTCTTTTTCATAAAATATTCCAGAATGCAAAGGTAAGGCTCTCTTAATAAAGATATGAGTTTATCCAAAAATAAAAATAAGGTTTAAATAAAGTTTATCTTATCTAAGCAAAGATGCTTCAATATTCAGAGCTGTATTAATGCCACAAATAATATATTAAAGGAGAAAATTACATATCTTAAGAAATACTAAAAGAAAAAACAAGAAGCAGCAGCTATCTATAACTAATTTTAGAAAACGTAAGTTAGGAATAAAGGAAAACCTCATCAATGAGATAAAAAAAAAATAGAAATGTAGAGCAAATATCATGCCAAAACCAGTCTCCCTAAAAGAGAATAAGACAGAAATGTTCACCACTACATAATATTAGCCCAGAGGATCTAGCTAATGCAATAAAATAATAAAAACCAATAAGCATAATTAATATGAGAAACAGCAAATTATCATTATTATCAAAAAGAGACTGTCTCGAAAAAATATAAAATAAGCAAATGAAAACCTATTAGAATAAATAATTTTAATATGACCGAATGAAATAATCAAAAATCAAAACATGTAAATTTCCACCAAAACTATTATGCCAATGCACTTAAAATAACCATCTTTAAAATTTATTTTTTAAAACTTAAGAGACTTCCTCTAAAATTCATACAGAAGAAGAAAATTTTGGATAGGAAGTCCAGCCCATCAGACCTATTAAGCAGCATAAGAATAAATAACTCAGTGATACAAACATGGGTTAAAAAGAAAAAACAATACGGAAAGTTAGTTCATGATAAAAGTGGTCTTTCAAATCTGCAGAGAAAGAATGCACTATTTAATAAATGGCATTGGAGAAAATGGAAATAAACTAAACTTAGTCCTTTTTTTAAACTATACCCTAAATAAATTCCAGAAAGATTGCAATGCTAACTGTAGAAAACAAAAACATGAAGATATTAGAATGTTTTTTAGAAAAAGAAATTTCCTTTGTAATACAATACAAAACCCAGCAGCTACAAAGGTAAAGTGCCAGACTTGATCTTATAAAATTTTATAATTCCAATATATACACATATATATTCTGATATACATCCATTAATAAAATTAAAGAAAAATGACAAGCCAAGAGATTTACAACATATCTGGCAAAGAGTTAACACTCACAATATGTATACATTCAGAGCAATAAGAAATAAATAAAAGACAATCTCATAGAAAATTGGAATAATTCACAGAAGGAAAACATATGGAAACACTTTTAAAACTTCTACTTTTCAAGAAAGCAAGGATAGGAATAAAAGGAACTGACACTGTTTTTGCTGTTGTTTTTTAGCAACCCTATTAACTGAAGAACTGACACTGTTGATGGTAGTATAAATATTGGAGTCTTTCTGGATAGCAGTACCTAACAGATTTTAAATGAGTACACTTCTTAATATCTTCCTCAAGGAAATGCTCTGACAGAATTCAAGAGTATCTTATAAAGATGTTCACCACTCTATTAATAATAGCAAATATTAAAAATAACCTAAATGGTTATATAAGCTATGGTATATTTATATTAAAAATTATACAGATCTGTATGTACTGATAAGCAAAGCTTTCCAAAATATATATTTTTTAAAATTCAAGTAGCAGAGAAATATGTTGATATGGTTTAGCTGTGTCCCCACTAGAATCTCAACTTGAACTGTATTCCCAGAATTCTCATGTGTTGTGGGAGGGACTCAGGGGGAGGTAATTGAATCATGGGAACTGGTCTTTCCCATGTTATTCTCATGATAGTGAGTAAGTCTCATGAGATTTGATGGGTTTATCAGGGGGTTCCGCTTTTGCTTCTTCCTCATTTTCTCTCACCACCACCATGTAAGTGCCTTTCACTTTCCACCATGATTCTGAGGCCCTGGCCTCATGGAACTGTAAGTCCAATTAAACCTCTTTATGTTCCCAGTCTTGGGTACGTCTTTATCAGCAGCATGAAAATGAACTAATACAGTAAATTGGTACCAGTAGAGTGGGGCACTGCTGAAGAGATACCTGAAAACGTGGAAGCGGCTTTGGAACTGGGTAAGAGGCAGAGGTTGGAACAGTTTGGAGGGCTCAGAAGAAAACAGAAAAATGTGGGAAAGCTGGAACCTCCTAGAGACTTGTTGAATGGTTTTGACCAAAATACTGATAATGGTATGAACAATAAGGTCCAGGCTGAGGTGTTTTCACATCGAGATACGGAACTTCTCGGGAACTAGAACAAAGGTGACTCTTGTTATGTTTTAGCAAGGAGACCAGCAGCATTTTGCCCCTGCCCTAGAGATTTGTGTAACTTTGAACTTGAGAGAAATGATTTAGGGTATCTGGTGGAAGATATTTCTAAGCAGCAAAGCATTTAAAAGGTAACTTGAGTGCTGGTAAAAGCATTCCATTTTAAAAGGGAAACAGCATAAAAGTTCAGAAAATTTGCAGCCTGATGATGCAGTGGAAAAGAAAAACCTACTTTTTGAGGAGGAATTCAAGCAGGCTGCAGAAATCTGCATAAGTAGAAAGGAGCCTAATGTTAATCCCAAGGCCATGAGGAAAATGTCTCCAGGCCATGTCAGAGACCTTCACAGCAGCTTCTCCCATCATTGGCCAATAGGCCCAGGAGGAAAAAGTGGTTTTGTGGGCCAGGTCCAGGATACCCATGCTGTGTGTAGCCTAGGGACTTGGTACGCTGTGTCCCAGCTGCTCCAGCCGTTCCTGAAAGGGGCCAACATAGAGCTCCGGCTGTGGCTTTCACAGAGTGGAAGCCCGAAGCCTTGGCAGCTTCCATCTGATGTTGAGCCTGCAGGTGCACACAAGTCAAAAACTGAGGTTTGGGAAACTCCACCTAGATTTCAGAAGATATATGGAAACGCCTGGGTGCACAGGCAAAACTTTGCTGCAGGGGCAGGCCCCTCATGGGAAACCTCTGTTAGGGCACTGCAGGTGGGAAATGTGGGGTCACAGTCCCCACACAGAGTCCCTAGAGGCACTGCCTAGTGGAGTTATGAAAAGAGGCACACCATCCTCCAGTCCCCAGAATGACAGATCCACCTACAGCTTGCACTATGCACCTGGAAAAGCTGCAGACACTCAGCACCAGCCGGTGAAAGCAGCAGGGATGGAGGCTGTACCCTGCAAAGTCACAGGGGCAAAACTGCCCAAGACCATGGGAACCCACTTTTGCATCAGCATGAGACCTAGAGTCAAAGGAGATCACTTTGGAACTTTTAAATTTGACTGTCCCACTGGATTGCAGACTTGCTTGGGACCTGTAACCCCCTTTTTTTGGCCAATTTCTCCCATTTGGAATGGCTATATTTACCCAATACATGTACCCCCATTGTATCTATGAAGTAACAACTAGCTTGCTTTTGATTTTACAGGCTCATAAGTGGAAAGGACTTGCCTTGTCTCAGATGAGACTTTGGACTGTGGACTTTTGGGTTAATGCTGAAATGAGTTAAGACTTTTGGGTACTGTTAGGAAGGCATGATTGGTTTTGAAATGTGAGGACATGAGATTTGGAGGAGCCAGGGGTGAAATGATACGGTTTGGCTGTGTCTCCACCCAAATCTCAACTTGAATTGTATCTCACAGAATTCCCGTGTGTTGTGGGAGGAACCCGGAGAGGGTAACTGAATCATGGGGACCAGTCTTTCCTGTGCTATTCTCGTGATAATGAATAAGTCTCATGAGATCTGATGGGTTTATCCGGGGTTTCTGCTTTTACTTCTTCCTCATTTTCTCTTGCTCTCGCCATGTAAGAAGTGCCTTTCACCTCCCACAAGATTGTGATGCCTCCCCAGCCATATGGAACTGCAACTCCCTATGTCTTTATTAGCAGCATGAAAATGAACTAATATATACGTACAGTATGACTCCATTAATTTTTTTATTTTGTTATTTACTTATAGTTATTATTGTTTTTGAGAGAGAGTCTTACTCTGTCGCCCAGGCTGGAGTGTAGTGGCATGATCTTGGTTCACTGCAACCTCTACCACGTGGGTTCAAGTGATTCTGTGCCTCAGCCTCCCAAGTAGCTGGGATTACAGGCATACGCCACCACACTCAGCTATTTTTTATATTTAGTAGAAATGGGGTTTTGCCATGTTGACCAAGCTGGTTTCAAACTCCTGGCCTCAAGTGATCCACCCGCCTTGGTCTCCCAAAGTGCTGGGATTACAGGGAGTGAGCCACTGTGTACAGCCTCCATTTATTTTAAATACAACATGTAGTGCATTATGTATATATATATATATATGTATATATATATATATATATATACACACACACACACACACACACACATGTAAAAACATAAAAAAGGACTGGGAAGATGAACACTAAACTGCTGCTGGTTAACTCTGGGAAAAATGGAGGGAGACATTTATGTTTTCTCTGAAAACTACTATATAGTCCGAGTATTGTAAAATACAATACTCATGTGTTACTTTTTGTATTATTTTTCAAGGGTGAACTGTTTTTAAAAAAAAGATGCATATATCAGGGGAAATAGAGGAAGATTTTTTCAATTTAAATTGAAAGCAGGTAAGAAAGGGAAACACGGCCCCTGACATCAGGAGCAGGCCTGGCACTCACAGCTAGGTCTTCGTGCTCTCCTGTTGAATAATCTCATATGATATTAGATAAGGCCACTATGACATTGATGGATCAAAACAAGACCACTTTAAAATCATGTCTTTACAAAGACAAAATTGTGAACATTGTCCATACCCCTAAAATGTCTCAACATCTTTAGCAACTGAGGCTTTAGCTTCCTTCCTCCTAGACAAAATTTATATTAAGATACCTAAACATATCATAACACCTCTTCCTTTCTTTTCTTTTTCTTTTTTTATTTTTTTGAGACAGAGTCTCATTCTGTCACCTAGGCTGGTATGCCGCAGTGCAATATCTTGGCTAACTGCAACCTCCACCTACTGGTTCCAAGGGATCCTCTGCACCTCAGCCTCCTGAGTAGCTGAGACTAGACGCGCACCACCACACTAAGCTAATTTTTGTATTTTTTAAATAGAGACGGGTTTTGCCAAGTTGCTCAAGCTAGTCTTGAACTCCTGATCTCAAACAATCAACCTGTCTTGGCCTCCCAAAGTGCTGGGATTACAAGTATGATCTGCACCCAGCTTTGTATGACCTCTTCTTGACAGTATCCAATACAGAACAACAAAGCCCTACTTTTTTTTTTCCTTTGGAGATAAGGTCTTTTTCTGTCACCCAGGCTGCAATGGTGCAATCACAGCTCACTGTAATTTTGAACCCCTGGGCTCAAGTGATCCTCCTACATCAGCCTCCTGAGTAGCTGGGACCACAGGAATAAACCAACATGGCTGGCTAATTTTTTTATTTTTTGTAGAGACAAGGTCTCACTATGTTTCCCAGGCTGGTCTCAAACTCCTAGCCTCAAGTGATCCTCCCCCCGCCGCCTCCCAAAGTGCTGGGATTACAGGCACAGACCAGCATGTCCGGCCCCCCACTTCCTTAAAGCCTCTCTAAAATTACCCAAAACAAGTCCTTTAATATGTCTTTTCAAGTACCATCTTCCTGAGACACTCCAGATCTGAATAGAAGTCATAAACATAACTTGTTCAACTACAAGAGTGTTTCTAGTGTTCTTTGGCTGGAGGACACTAATGCATGATAAATAAGACTGATGGGATCTCCAACCCAAAAAGGTATAATAAAGATAAACTAACATTGAACGTTTACTATGAGACAAAATTTTCATAGATACCACATCTTATTTACTCCTCGCAACAGGAAAAGCAATTGTTATTCCATTTTACTAAGAGAACAGTGGGGTTAAGAAAGGGTGAAATAGGAACTAAATACAAATGATTTCAAATTCACATTGTTTTCCCTTTTCCAGGGAATACTCCTCCAACTATTGTATTTGATTATCATAGAAGTACATAGCAATATGCCAGATAAAACACAATGAGTACAGTGGCTCACACCTTTAATTCAAGTACTTTGGGAGGCCAAGACGGGAGGATCACTTGAGCCCAGAAGTTCAAGACCAGCCTAGGCAACACAGGGAGCATAAGGAGACTCAATCCTCTCTCTGTTAAAAAAAAATTAGCAGGCATGGTGGCATACATCTGTAATCCTACCTATTCAAGAGGCTGAGGTAGGAGGATCACTTGAGCCTGGGAGGCACGAATGCAGGAGCATGACCATGGAGTGCCACTGCACTCCAGCCTGGGTGACAGAGTAAAACCCTATCTCAAAAATAAATCAATAAATAAATAAACAAACAAACAAATAAAAACATTACCTTTCCTGAACATATACTTTACTTGATAGTAATAACACCATTAATAGTTAACATTTACTAAAGGCATATCATGTATCAGGTATCACATTAAACAGCCATTTAATCCTCCCAATAATCCTATTAAGATAGGTACTAGTTCTTTCAGAAGCTATATTACTAAAAACATGGGAGAAATAGGAATCAAATCAGGTTCATAAGACTCAAAATGTACACTCTTAACCATCAGAGTATCCTCATTAAAAACATTTTAACATTAAAACAAGACAGATTTATTATGAAATAAAGTGCAAAACAGGATTTCTTTAAGGTAAGTCCTCAGGTTATACCCCCAGAACCTTGAGAAAATAAATTTACTCAAATGTTAGGGATATTTCTTTGGGGGGAATTATTTTTTAAGTACCACACTATACCATAATGCTTAGGAGATACTTTAGTAAATTTTTCTCAAAATCAGGTAAGTTTTTATATTGTAATGTCCATATGGTTCAAGATAGTCCTTCACCAAGGCTCTAGGTACAATACAAAGACATATAACTTTGTAAGACTAGTGTTTCAGCTTTCTTCCTTTCCCATGTAACATAGACTTTCTCCATACCTTTGAACTTTTTCTCAACCTCAAACCCAACTAGTTGATGATTCTAGGGATAACAGTTTGTATTTATAGTATCAAAGCAAATGGTGAGTTTTTTGAACCATACTTTTAAATTGCCAGTAACTTCCCTTTGCCTACAATTGAATTGTTGGAAACCAACTGAATTTATTAGACATCAGCAGAAAGTTTCCAAAAGCATTATGTTATCTGCTTTACAATATTAGGTTTATTAGCAGTTTATACCCCTAGAAAATCAAACCATAAAAGGTTTATTTACATTAACCTTTAAAAGAATGAGGCTGGCAGGGCTCTATTACCTTTTGGCCTGTGGTTACCGAATTCACCAGGAGTAGGGACTTTAACAGGTGTTGCTGAACTTTGAATAGTCAGCACACTGGGAGTGGCAGTAGTAGTAGAGTTGGCCTTTGGTCTTTGTCTTGGTGCAATTGAGGTTTCTGTTGGTCCAATGGTATCTGTTATTCTATAAAAAAAGAATATATTTCATTCTAAATATTGGAATTATTTCTCATTTACTCTTTGTTCTATAAAGCATCCAACTCAACAGGTGCATTTTAACTATTACTGATAATCACATTAGTCATCTTTCTTCTAACTTTCAAGTATTAAATGTTTAATAAAGATAGGAAAATAAATAAAAGTAACCATTTTCCTTAAAACAGTATACAATCATTCATAGTCTGCTACTGAAACTGGCAGAAAAAGAATATAGTCCCAGAAACTGCTCTTAAGGAGATGAAATGATACTGAAAGGAAATAAACAGAAACCTTTTCATAAGGTTTTGGATGAAACTGAGAACCATTCTCTGAAATTGTCAGAGAAATAAAAATAAGAAACAACAAGAAATAATCTCCCTTTACTTGGACTCAAGGCATAAAAAAAGAAGACTGTAGCCTAGGACATGTTAAACAAAAGCAGCCAAAACTTTTAACAGGTGGAACCACCTGCTCACATTCAAATTCTTGAATCTTTACCTTTGCTTTACTTAGAACACAGAATGGAAATTATATAAAACATATCCCACTAGGACTTAGTTTAGGCCCCAGATGCAGGTGGTTAAGCAGTAAACACAGTTTAGAAATTAAGAGACAATAAATATAATTTGAAAAGACACTGACATTTGCTTTTCTTTTTTAAAAAAAAAGGTAAAATATTTCATGTTTATCAACTTGCTTTCTATAAATTCAGTATAAAAACTCAAATACTTGTTAATATGACCATATGTTCACTTTCCAAAAGGATTCACAACAAAATCTCTTTATTAAATCCCTTACACATTTTCAAGTAAATTAATACTTTAAAATTTGACATACATATGATTTATCAAGCACACATCTGCTGTATCTGCATCTATCAAGTGAACAGATTCCATTATTTCCCAACATCTGTAAGTACCACAAGAGGGAGCCCTATTAACAACTATCTTCCCAAGAGAATGAAAAAAACATGACACTGAATCAAAAGACCTTAGAATTATATGTATTCTATTTTCTGAAAATAACACCTATGCTCTAGATGGGATGGGGATGGCAAAAGTCATGAAAACTGAAATATATACATATATATATTATATAATCAATTATATCTTATTTTCATGATAATCAAGTATTTAATGACTTCAAATTATTGAAGGGGCATTAGAATCAATGCTGTACTCCCTAAGCTCAAGTAATTTGGGGGAAATATTGTACACAATGTCTCTGTTTAACTATCCATTCTGTATTAAATGGCTAGTACAGGCTAGTACAGGCCATACCTCATGTTGCATCGTTGCTGATCTAAACCCCCTTTAGAGATTCACAACACACGTAGGCATAGCAAAAGAAGCTTATTAAAAGTCTGTATACTTTGTTCATTCTAATGTCTCTTGTTTTACTAATAATATGCTGTAATATGTATTGTACATTTACTGATATCCAGCAAAACACTGCACAACACCCTGTCCTCAAAGAATTTACAGTATACCTAGGAAAGACAGGGCACATGTTAGTGGAAATGTAACAATACATAAGATAGTAAAAATCATCAGTGCCAAGCTACTGCTGTCAAGAGTTTTATAAAGATGTAACTGTACTTTTAATCTAACTTGGCTACAGAAGTCTTCAGGTAAACACTGGGGTTTAAATTTTTTTTAATAAGTTTGACTTCATTAGGCAGTGACAAAGAAACCAGGCATTCTATATATGGGAAAAAAAATGCCTGGGCAGATTAGGCATAGGGAAGATACAAAATTGACTGAAGTCAAACACAGTCAATTTTGTATCTTCCCTATTACAACACTGCCACACAGTCTCATGTGCACTATTACTATAGTCACAGAGCTGTTTTTTCTGCTTCCCTTCTTTTCTCCTCACCATCACCTGAACAAAATCATCACAGTTTTCCTAAAACTCAGACTCACACTCTCCTGCTTAAAATTCTTCAATGTTTCCATCTGCCAGGCCAGTGATTCTCAAAGTCTCCATCTTTAAGACATGTGTCAGCTAAATTTCACATGTTAACCTATACTAAGAGCAGATGCAAAGTTCAGGGAGATGAGAGCAGCCTTTTAAGAAGGCAGAGAGTACCACAGATTGAAGGTAGCTGAGTACCCACAGGAGCTTTCTGAAAACATGTGAGTAATGAAACTACCTAGTAAATGATTTCTCCTCCCAAAATATGCTATCTACATGAAAAACATCTAAATTTTTTAATATTAGGCTTTGTATATAGATTTGTTCAAGTCTTCACTAATATTCATAAAGAGTAAATTTATATTAGTGACAACCTTATTTCTTAATATATATAATGTTCAGATTCAATATACTATAAGTAAACACTGTGAATTTTAATAGCACTATTTCATTGGCTTGTAATTATATAGCTATAACGTGTTACGGTGAAATGCTGACTTATGCTATTTTTTAAAAATCGACCTTCTCAAAGATTTGTTTACTATTTTAAAAAACAGAAGTCACAATAAAATTCAACTGACAAATCCTACAATTCATAATTACCACTCAACATTGCATGCTAATTAAAGCTATGTCATAGGTAAGACCAATAGTTGGTCAAGCTGGTTTCCTGCAAGTTATATATAACTTTACTTCTTCATCTCTTCTCAAAAGAACATTTTGAAATTAAAGTGAATGAAGATATTTTTAGAGTAACACCATTTTTAAAAATAAGTCATTCACAAGACATATTAACAATTTACAAGTAACAGATCATTTACAACACAAGCCACAACCAAGTCTCAATCTCAATGAGTAGAACTGACTAGAAGGTTGAAACATAACTAACCTAAAGGCCAAGTCCAAATTTCTCAGCATGATTTAAAAAAAAAAAAAAAAAAACAACGCTGTTCCCGACTAGCATTTATCTACCTCTCCACTACTCCTGTGTATGTCCCATTTTGCCCTAGGCTTGCAGTTTCACAAGGGCCATTCTTGCCTAAACTGCCTGCCTGCTATAGTTTCACTCTCCACCCTTCCAGGTGATTGACCATTCATCATTCAAGGAAGATTCCCACACTCAGAAAAACATTCTTTATGTGCTCCTGTTTTCCCTGCTCCTAGACTTTCCCTTCCTCCACACTCTCAAAGTAGCCTGATACCTATCAGGTTGTAATTGTTTACTTGTCAATTAGAATGTGAACTCCTTAGAAATAAAAACTGCTTTTTTTTCTTTGTGTTTCAGTTGTCTGTATCTTGCATATAAAAAGCATATGAACAAATACATTTTTGCATTGTATATGAAATAAAACTTTGTATAAATAACATACAATACAAAAATGCTGTGACCAAGAAATCTTCCTAAATGTAATATTATACCTGTCTCATAATCTAAGATACAATTCTGCTTATTTACTTTTAAATTTTAAAAAGTATGAGGGGAAAAAAATCAATCATTAACAGATTCAGTCTTAACCTACATAATACAGTTCAAACTTATAATTAATAATTATTTAATAACAAATACTCTGAAAAATAAGATTGAAAACATTTTTACAGTGGGTCTTTTTTTATCATCCTTAAAAAGTATTCTAGTTATAACTACTCATTACAAATTCTACAAAGTACATACATATTCTACATATTCTAGTTGCCTGTATGAGCTATTTTTTTCTTTCCTTAAATTTAAAAAATAAACATATTATCTATGACTCAAAACGTAATATTTCCTAAATCAGAGTTGCTATATGATGAAAATTACAACCCCTGCCCCTCCAAAAAAAGACCCACTGTAACATTATCAGTTAAACAATCACTTATTTGTCACTGAGTGAACAGTTCCAGTGAGATGATGCCAAACCCTTTATCTAATATTTGTAAAAGCTTATTTTGTATTTGCTATCTCAATTATACCACATGCAATAATCAACACAACATTTTTTGTGGGTGAAAATGATACTTAATCAATTACATTTGCTAGATTAAAAACAAGGCCTATCATTTTTTTTAAATGCCTTTTCAATTTTAGCATAGCTTTGCCTACCTGGCTTTTATTTGGCTTTTCCTAGCAGCTGCTTCACTAGCAGTCATCGGTTCAGGAAGAGCTGAAGGAATAGAAGAATTCTTGGGAGAAAAAAAAATTTCATTTTAGTTTTTAATTGCAGAAAGTTTTTTAAACTATGGATATATTATTGAACTTTAAAAGTACTCTCCATAATATTATTTTCACATCACATACCTATAAATTGTTCACATATATTTGCCAGATCTAATCTGCAAATATCACTACTTGCTACACAATGTCACTTTCATATTCATATGCTACAGAAACCTTGGAAAATAAGCAAAAGATACCATTGTATCCATGTATAAGTGGGTAAATCTTGAGTAAAAACAAACATTATATTACACTTGTAAATCAATGACTATTTGCATTTTGGAAAAAGCAACAAACACCAAGGATAAGAATAAAGTGTTGTTTCTACATACTACAGATAATTTTCAAGACACTGAATATAAGGCCTGGAAAATTAGGGCAGAAGGCCTTACTGATTTTTCTATGTCCAATGTTTAGTCCATTGTAGATACTCAACAAATACTTGCTGAATAAAAAGCTCAACACCTAATCAAATGTCAAATGAATCTACTTTTCTACTTTTAGAACTGCAAAACTTTCAGCTTTAACAAAGAAAATACTACATCAATACAACAAGGGCTTAAAAAAAAAAAAGGAAAGGTACCACATTCCTTCTTTTTTCTTAGTGTGGTAGATTAAGTTATACATAAAGAAAACAGAAACAAGTCAGGCCAGAATGATCTTTACAAAGTCAAGAATGGCTTATAATCAGCGATGATTTTAGAGACCTTTATTAAAACTGACAAAGACTTGCCATATACAATTCACTTAAAGTAGTTAAATGCACTGTGCAGACAGTGAATAAAATTCAAAGCTTTTGAATAATACTATTGCCAACTGAGTACCTTCCAAGAACTAGGCACTGGGTTTTACATGTAATCCTTATAATTACTATCCTTGCTTTAAAAAAAAAGGAAATTAAAGTAACTTACCAAAAGATTCAAAATCAACCACTGATAAAGACAAAACTGAATCTGGGTCTTTCTGTTTACATTGCCTGTGCTTTTACAATTATTATTTTTATAGTTTAAGGGGCTCCAAGTGCAGTTTTGTTACAAGGATATGTTGCATAATGGTGAAGTCTGGGCTTTTAGTGTGACCATCACCCAAATAGTGTACAGTATACCCATTAGGTAACTTCTCATCCTTCATCCACTTCCCACCTTTCTAAGCTTCCACTGTCTATTACTCCACTGTCTATATCCAGACATACACATTGTTTAGTTCCCATTTCACAATGCCTGTGCTCTCTATACCAACATCCAATGTTTCCTAAACTTACTCAGTTAATAGAGTGCTTAGGGTCTCAGTAATTGTTTACAACACGTCTAAGAAAAAAAATCTAATAGTCCTGTTTATTAGATGGTTAGGCCCAAATAACTTAATAAAATTAGTTTGTGCTAGGTCAGACAGATGTTCCTGTGTTTTCCTCAAAAATGCAAAATATCCTGTCTGAGTCTTCTGCACTCCCCAAGGTACCTCAGTGCATAGTCTGGGTACTACAGCTTTTAAACAATATAGTCAAACACACAATCAGACCACTTGTCATGAAACAAAGAAGTTTGTCTGTTTTTTAACAACAAAAAACAAGTAGCTCTGAAAGTCTATGTATTCACATGCAATAAAATGAATTTTAAATCCATATCCTACTTGAAAAACTACTTACATTGATGTTGGAGACTGGACAATCCTTTTTGGCAAATTTAAATGCAAAATATGACACTTGAAATATATCAGGTCTATGTTCTGGATCTGGTTCAAGCATGAACCCTGCAAGAACAGATAAAAATGTTAAGAAGTTTTATGAAACACACATTATTCTACTTAGGGGCACATTATAAGGATAAAAAATATCTATTTTCTGTTCCATTTTAAGATCAGTGATGATTCTAGTGAACTTTATTAATGTCTATAGAAAATGCAGAAATTGGTAGAAGTAAAGCATTATCCTACGCTAAGGGTAGATTAGTCACAGAACAGCTCTACACTAGAAGTATGAATGACAAATATGATTATTCTATTAAAAAAGTGACACAAAAGAAAAAGTGGGTTTAGTGAACAGTGGAGAATTATTCAAGAAAGTTCGAAGGCCATAGTAAAAAGGTTCTTCAAGATAATTCTATTCAAAATAATTCTTACTATTACCTAAAATATCTTTATTAATTTTTAAGTAATCCTGAATCATTGAGAAAAGGCTAAATTGTGTACATTATAATCTAATAAAGTATTAAAGGATTGGCACTATCGTTTTCCCAAAGCATGCTCTCTTCCCGTTCTGATATTAACAACGTTCACCATAGTTCTGTATCTTAACATGTTATCCATATCATGCTCAGAAATATGGGCAGAGTTTTATAATTTCCATGAACAGATTTCAAAACAACCTTACAGACTGCTTGAAATGCCTGATCTTTTTGCTACAAAAATGACCACTACTATTTGGTAGTACTCTATTTCTTGGATAATTTTTAATTCTAAATTTTACAAAGTTGACATTTACACTCAATTCCGTAATTAAAGATTCATATTATTTTAAGACTAAGTCTATCTCTGCCTCATCAATTAACTCTAAGTTTTTATAATGTTTAAATCCTTCTTAAACTACTTAAAATGTAAAATTTACAGCATTAGATGATATTCTTAAGTTTGCTAATAAACTAATAGATAGAGAGATCTAAGTATGTAAATGGGTTAAATAAAATTGTAAATCAAAATGAATTAAATCTTCCCTTCAAATTTAAGTAATATTTTGAATGAAGAATGTACAATACATTTCCAATGACATGATAAATTTATTTTGGCTAAAAACACAGTTAAGTGGAAAGTTATAATTTATTTGAGAGATTCTGAGCTCAGTGTAAAATATACAAAAATTCTGCATGTAACTTGATTTTATATGTTTATGCTAACATATGTCACATAAAATTGATTTTTTATCATTTTTATAGCCATTGCTAGATTGAAATAACTAAAAACATTTTAATTCTAATATTTGCTAGTTTTTATATTCAAATTCATTCCAGAAAAGATTTGAGGAATCCAAAAAGTTTATTTTATCTTCATACCAACAGATATCAAATGTTTTTAAAGTAGCAACAGCACATAAAATGGGGGTAAATTTAAATATACTGTTAACAATAAATACTTACTCAGATAATTTTCAAAACCAAATAAATCACCAAAAAACCTATCAGATTCACAAATGTATAGTCCTATTTTTCTATTCTAACAAATTTATTTGACTTTTAAAATCTAATTTCAACAATAGCTAATTACAAATATTTAGTCCTATTGGACTTCAAGTCCAAGAACTTGAAGCAGCACACAAAACTGTAAGATTTTTTTTAAATATACAAGAAATGTAAAACGGATGGAAAAATAATGGCTGGGGTGTTGAAATGAATAGGATAATGAGGTCAGTTACAAACTACATATGATCTGGTCCTAAACAGAGGCCCAAAGTTTGCTCTACATTTTCTATCTGTCTATCCGTCTATATATATATATATAGACATATATATATATGGCAACATGATCCGTTACATGAACCACAGTGTACCTGACACAAAAAAGAGGTGCTAGGGAAAAACACTATTTGTGATACTGAAAGCTAGAGGGCAAATTCTCCCTTGAGTCTTTCTAAAGATAGCTCACACAAAGTGAACAACATCCTTAAGAACAGCAGTGAGTGGACTGGGCACAGTGGCTCACGCCTATAATCCCAGCGCTTTGGGAGGCCGAGGCAGGTAGATCACGAGGTCAAGAGATCGAGACCAGACTGGTCAACAAGGTGAAACCCCGTCTCTACTAAAAATACAAAAATTAGCTGGGCATGGTGGTACACATCTGTAGTCCCAGTTACTCGGGAGAGGCTGAGGCAGTAGAATTGCTTGAACCCAGAAGGCGGAGGTTGTCGTGAGGCGAGATCGCGCCATTGCACTCCAGTCTGGGTAACAACAGCGAAACTCCGTCTCAAAAAAAAAAAAAATAGCAGTGAGTGACACAGGGTCATGTTTTAAACACTTATCAATGTAGACTAGTGGCCTAAATGCAGTGCAGTAAAAGAAAGAGGTATGGGGCCGGGCGCGGTGGCTCAAGCCTGTAATCCCAGCACTTTGGGAGGCTGAGGCGGGTGGATCACGAGGTCAACAGATCGAGACCATCCCGGTCAACATGGTGAAACCCCGTCTCTACTAAAAATACAAAAAAATTAGCTGGGCATGGTGGCACGTGCCTGTAATCCCAGCTACTCGGGAGGCTGAGGCAGGAGAATTTCCTGAACCCAGGAGGCATAGGTTGCAGTGAGCCGAGATCGCGCCATTGCACTCCAGCCTGGGTAACAAGAGCGAAACTCCGTCTCAAAAAAAAAAAAGAAAGAGGTATGGTATAAGAACATATACTTCTTTGGTGACCTGGCTTAATCCAAGACAAACTTTTTAAGTATCTAGAGAGGAATTAAATGATAGTTCAGGCAGTCCTGGTTTTCCTTTGTTTTGATTTTTTTCATAGTAGTTGAGGAGCATTGAGGGAGAAGAAAATTTGAGATTTGGTGTCCTAAACTATAATGGGTATAAGTATTTCTGTCTCTCAAGTTAAGCATACCATATCATCTAATGATTAGGTAGTCAGGTTGCAGGTAGAATTAATATTATCTTATGAGCTAACACAAGGACCTCCAATTCCCCTGGGTCATGTTTTCATGTGGGAATATATCTGCTGGAGCCAGTTTAGTCTAATTATATTGATCCCATTTATGTGACATAAAATCAACTCAAAAGTCAGAACTACTATTTATTTTAGCAAAGAACAAAATATTAGAGTACATTAATATGATAAATATAAGCAATATTTCATGAAATGTGATTCATTTTACATGTGTGTATATGTTTGTGTGTGGTATGCATACCAGATCATAACTAAAATGTATTTTTTATTAACATATTGAATCACAGTCGCAAAAGTTTGAAGCCACTGTGTTAGTGTAGTACCATGATAACTCATTCTACCCCATGGGAAAGATAGTGATTTATCAAATTGTTAGACTAGAAGAAAGAATGAAGCACCTCCATCCATCAGTCTCTGATGCTCTTTGTTTCAGAATAAGTTATTTTAAGAACACGTTCTCTTGCTAAAACATATTTTTTAAGTAGCCTTTTTCTGTGGAAGATTTTCCAGCACTGCCTATGACTGGATGTTAGTAAATCTCAGGGTTGAGAACACAGGAACAGGCTCCTTTGGCTTTAGATCTAAATTTCATTCTGCAATCTGCTTTATCAGTACTAAAAAGTTGACAGTTTTATCTGATGAGTTCCTGCGCACCATCACCAACTTGGTTCTAAATTCAGAGTATTAAAAAAAGATGAATGATCATACCCAAAACCCACAGGTAGAACATAGCTACATTTTTATCTCTGAATATTTCTAAATTGAATATTATCAGCAATTAAGAAAAAGGAAAAAAAACAATGAGGCATCTTTAAGCACTTAATTTACATAATATAATTTACTGAACTCTTCAAGAGAATGGGTTGCAAAATGTAATACTGCATACTGAATGATGTAATCTAGATTGCAGAGGTATCACATTTAATACAGCTAAACACTGATTCAAGGACAATTTAAGCCAGACACAGTGGCTCTCGCCTGTAATCTCAGCTACTCAGGAGGCTGAGGTGAGAGGATGACTTGAGCTTAGGAGTTCAAGGTTGCAGTGAGCTGTGATCTCACCATTGCAGCAATCCAGCACAGGAAAGAAAGAAAAAGAAAGAAAGAAGTGGAATGGAGAGAAAGGAGAGGCAGAAAACGAAGGAAGAGAGGGAGGGAAGAAGGAAACTGACACCTTCAATTTTTTTTTTTTTTTTAACACAAGAGTCTCACTCTGTCACCAGGCTAGAGTGCAGTGGTTCGATCTTGGCTCACTGCAACCTCCGTCTCTCAGGTTCAAGTGATTCTCCTGCCTCAGCCTCCCAAGTAGTTGGGACTACAGGCACACACCACCATGCCCAGCTAATTTTTATATTTTTAGTAGATATGGGGTTTCATGTTGGCCAGAATGGTCTCAATCTCTCGACCTCGTGATCTGCCCACCTCAGCCTCCCAAAGTGCTGGAATTACAGGCATAAGCCACCTCACCCAGCCAGACACCTTCAATTTTTAAGTAGTTTTTCCAAAGGCATTTTCTCCTGCAAATAATTAAACCTTGAGTTTAGTGTTTTATTCATTTCTACTTCATGACAATAAAATGATATAATCTATTAATGAAATGTGCCTATGGGGAAAAGAAATGGATTAAGGAATATATATGTCCAGTTCATCCAAAAGTAGCATTGAGTGATTAGGTTTAGAAACAAAACAAAAAAGGCAGAGAGGCTAGAATACACCTTTGTTTACTCAACCTAAAATGATCACATGAATCATCACAAAACTATTACCACTGAATCTAATTCTACTATAAATATAAAATCAACTTTTTAAAACTTAGCCACAAAGTAATGATATTTCTCTGCTCACTCAATTGTGTAAATCTTTCTATTGACACAAATTCTACTAACACAACCTAAGAACACTGAAGGTAGTGTATGACTAAACTACAACATTTCTTAGTGATGTACACACTGGTCTGAGGCAACTGAATTAATTATGCCTATATTAATATTGCATAGAAAAGCATAACATCCCTGCACATTCCAACAAAAATAGAAGCTAAAGGAGCTGCTGTTGCAGCACCCAAATAATATTATGATTTAGTCAAGGACCCAAGCCAAAAATTAAAATAGTTACCTCAAGTTACACAAAGCAAAGGATCCATGCTTGGGTCTAGATAAAGTTAAGCCACCATCTCTAATCTAACAGCTCAACAAATTTAAAAAGAAAATACTTTGAAGTCTCAAAACAATTTTCCTGCTTAAAATTTGTTTTTCCCCTATAAAAACACATTTTTCTCTCCCACTGTCTTCCAGTTATTACTCTTAATTTCCCTGAAATAATAAATATCCACTCTAATTTTCCAACCATAAATATTTCATGCATCAACATTCTTTTTTATATGTTAACTTACAGACATTATTATAGAAACTTACACATTAAATACATACGTCCTACATACCTTATTTTATGGATGCTGAAATGAAACTAAATTTAATAGCTGACAATATGTTCAATCATAACTGAAACATTAAGTGGCACTAAATAGTGCCAGGATAATATATTTGGAATAGTCCTGGTAAATACCCCTAGAAGTTACTGATCAGAGCCCTCTTTCTACATCTGTTCAAGTAGTAACCCAGAGCCAATGATTGAAAACCTCCAAGGAAACCCTATCTAAATCTTTGATTTCAAAGGTACTTTTAAGTAGCTGAGATTTTTTTTTTTTTTCAAAAAATAATATAGGAGAAGAGAGTGGGTGAGGTTATAGAAGAAACAAGATTGGGCATGAATTGATAACCACTGAGGCTGAGTGACAAGTACATGAAAATGTATTGCGCTGCCCTATCTATATTTGTAGGGATTATTAAATTTCTATAATAAATTTAATTGTATTAAAAACAAGCAAGCAAATTCTTGGTTTCCCACAGTATGGGTACTGAAACAAATTTAACCTCAATTGAACCAGCAGAGTGGTTCACACCTGCAGTACCAGTTACTCAAGAGGATCAGCTGAGCCCGGGAAATGAAGACAAGTCCGGGCAACATAGCTAGATCCTGTTTCTAAATAAATAAACAAATAATAAAAAATAAGGCAGGGTATGGTGGCTCATGCCTATAATCCCAGCACTTTGGGAGGCCGAGGCAGGTGGATCACTTGAGGTCAGGAGTTGGAGACCAGCCTGGCCAACATGGTGAAACCTTGTCTCTACTAAAAATATAAAAACTGGCTGAGCATGGTAGTATAGGCCTGTAGTCCCAGTTACTCAGCAGGCTGAAGCAGGAGAATGGAGAATCACTTGAATCTCGGAGGATTCTCACAATAACCTTAAGAGGTGGGTACTTTTAGAAATGGGAAGACTGAAATAAATGGAGGTGCCCAATGTTCCATACCAAACAGGGACAGAACAGATACAATCCAAGGCTGTTTGGCTCTAGAAGTCTTGCTCTTAATCTCTGCAATGTACTTCCTTAATCACCTTACAACACAGGAGCTAAAAGAAAAGTGAGGCAGCCAGCTTTCAGTACATTCTTCATAACTATGCAGTAATCCTGTTAGTTATGCTTCTGACTCTCCTTCTAAACGGTTCTCTAAGTTCTTTTCAACTCTTGGATCTGGAAATGGAAAGTGCTTCTCTCCTCATCCCCCATGCCAGTCCCATTACTTGCCCAGTAGGAGAGTTAACAGAAACTAAGAAAAGTTCTAAGTTATTGACTCCACTACTTTTAAGAAGAAAAGTCTCCAGGAAAGAAAGAAGAAATTAATAGTTAAATTAAGTTTTATGAAGAGTAAGTAATAATAATTACCCTTGACCTAAAATAGTAATAAGAAAAAGTATATTCAAATTCTTAGATAACCACAAACCATACAGTTTAAACAAAGATTTGTCATGGCTATTTCATTTTCAAAATTTCTGTGTGTTATAAAATGGATGCAACTGGCACTAATACTAAAAAGACGTTTATCTTATTATACTTTATCTTATGTTAATATATGGAAACAACTACATTGCATGATACACAATTGGCAACTAAAAGTTTCATATTCAAAAACTATGAGCAAAGCCAGGAATTCCTGGTTTTGTGAATGTAGGATTTATTTAAAAGAATTGTAAATCACTAATTACATATTATAAACACAGACAGAGACACTGAAATAAAATGGCAAAAGACACAAAAGGCCACATTTGAAATATATAAAGAATAAAATCTCAGGCTGGACATCGTGGCTCATGCCTGTAACCCAACACTTTAGGAGACTGTGGTGACAGGATTGCTTAAGGCCTGGAGTTTGAGACCAGCCTGGGCAATATAGCAAGACCCAATCTACAAAAATTTGAAAATTAGCCCAGCATGGTGGCACATGCCTCTAGTCCCAGCTACTCAGGAGCTGAGGCAGGAGGATGTCTTGAGACCAAGAGTTTGAAGTTACAATGAGCTATGATCATACCACTGTACTCCAGCAGGACCTGAGCCACAGAGTAAGACCTTGTCTCTTAAAGAAGACAAATAATAATAATAATAATAATAATAAAATTGCAAAGGATCTAAATGTTTTCTAAAACACATTACATTATAGATATGTTATAGTTTTAAATCTCTACTTTATTAAGTTTTTACTATTCAATACAATATTTTTAAAGTCCATAAAACCCTCTGACAGGAGGTAAAATACTAGGATTATTATAATTTCAGAGTGACTTGAATGCATTTGTGTTTTTTCAACCTTTTGTTATTTCTGCCTAGCTCTCAGAAATAAGTTCAAAGACATTAATACATAATCAAATTCATACTAGCAATGATAAAAACTAAAATTAGCACATTTACGGACATATAAAGCATAGAATATACTGATATACTGTGATGCATTAATTAACTACAGCCTAATTAGATCTAAAATTACCAATAGTATTTATTTTTTCCATCTTACCATCACAAACACACATAATCCCACACCACTCCCACATACATACATACACACACTAAAAAAAAGAAAAACCTAATCACAAGAAAATAAGATGCTACTACTATAAGCAAATTAAATCCCAAGTGAGACTAGATTTCTTCTATGGTTTTTTTTAAGCGATTTTTTAACCTTTTTTGCAATTTTTACCCTTTTATGATTTACATAAGCCTCAAAAATTATAAAAGCTAGACATCTGTCAAATGATTAACAAATTTTTCTAATTTATCATTTGACTTTATGAGTTTGGGTTCATGAGTCTGGTTCATGACTCTTAACAATTAAAAGTTACATGACAATAGATTTATCTTTTTTTAATACAGTTCCTGGGATTAAATGTCTAGCTTATAAATTCCACATTCAACTCTTATTTTCTTAAGTACATTTATGTTTTAGTTTTATATTTAAATCTTTGATTTATCTGCAATTTTAGCATAAAAAATGAAATAGAGATCCAGCCTTATTTTTTGCCCACAAATGACTGAGAAAGTTGAACTGCCATATTCATCATACAAACCTCAAATATATTTAGGTTGACCCTCTTTTCTATGCCAGTGAGCTGGAGGCTACAACAAGGGGTACTTAAATGCAGAAAACAAAGCAGAAATGCTAGACGTACTTAAACCATGTTAAGAGGAGCTGTTTAAATACTGTAGCTCCCTAATATATTTTAATATCTGTAGTCCACCCCCTCCTCAAATTTTTTTAACAAATTTTAACACATACATATGTAAAATGTTAAATTACATTACCTATCAAATGGAAGAAAAAAGCTTAAAGGAGGTTGGAAGAAAAACTATGCTTTTTTAAAAAATATATATTTTATTGCATTTTAGGTTTTGGGGTACATGTGAAGAACATGCAAGATTGTTGCATAGGTACATACATCTCAATGTGGTTAGCTGCCTTCCTCCCCATCGCCTATATCTGGCATTTCTCCCCATGTTATCCCTCCCCAAACTAAAGTATTATTTTGCAAGGAGACTAGCCCCTCTGACATTACGCCTTGGTATGTGCCACTAAATCTTACCTAGGGGCTTGAAAACATCTATATTAATCAGTAATTAGGTTGCTTTCATTCTTATATAAGTCCTTAAACACACTTGTAATTTTTTTCTTTACTAGTTTCACAGAATTATAATATGTGAAATTAAGACTAGATTTAAGTAAAGGGATGTAAATAGTAGGCCTGAAGTACAGTATCTTACAATATTTTCATATATTTTTCCAAGTACTTACTTATTAAGCAATGTATATTATGGGAGTAACGAGAATTGTCTGGGATGGTAAAGCTGCCATCACAGATAGCAACCTGACTCTCACCAAAAGGAAGAGTGAAGAAACAAAGTTTATAGAGTAGACATCCCAGTGCCTGTAAAACAAAGAGGCATGAATATTATTAGGGCTCAAATAAGCAAGACATAAAAATAGCCAAAAACCAAAAACTAAATGTTATTTTTAAAAGCCATAATGTTTCTATACTGTACCAATCTTTTCACAAATTACTTCTTACACAAATTAATATATTTAATTTTTGAAAAGACATTTAACTATATAATTTCCTTGATTTTCAATCACATCTGTGGCTAGTTGGCTGAATTAATGGTATCATAAAAATTAGAAGTAGCTGGTTCCTTTTGGAAAAAAATTAGACTTTTATTTCTTCCACAAGGAAAATATATACTTAGCATATAACTAGCATATAACCAACAAAGTTAAGTACAAGGCTCATTCTTTAACAGCATTTTTCAAAATTCACTATAAAACATGTTTAAAAGTTCTGGGATTCCAAATATGAGTTAGCCAGCACACGTAAACTTATCAGACAACAATCAATAAATTCGTACTATTTACTTAGCACATCTCATTATTTTACACTATAAAAATTAAGATGTTTCTAGATATAATCCTCTAACTTCTACTGCATATTATACTAATTATATTTGTATTTGTGACCTGGTAATCTATATTAAAATTCAAAATGGAAGGCCTCTGTCTGGATAACTTGCATTGCTTCATAACCATTATAGCACCAATAAATTTACTTGCTAACAATGAAGGCAAAACACCCTAAAATATCAATGTCATCTATAAAAGTACCACAGGAAATTTCTAGCTAAAGTGCTAACAGCTCGAACTTGAGAAGCTTTTTTTTTTTAAGTGATTTTTTGGCTTAAGAAATCATTACTTTTTCCCAAGAAGTGTCACCTACAGACCTTAAGAGTATAAGGGGCATTTCCAATTCTAACCAAATTGTTTAAATTCTCCAAGTTAGTATACACTTGTATCAGCAATACTGAAATTTAGCCTTATTTATGTAAAAATTAGCAAATCAGCTTTCCTTCTTTAAATTTTCTCCACATATCAACTTAGCAAACTCAGCTAACAAGTGCACTAATTTTTATAATTATTAAGAAGATTATAATAGACCTAAACAACTTGGTGAGTTCAGCAACAGTAATTTACAGAACATTTTCGATATTGTAGCAACGTTCCAATGAAAACAATTTAAAAGTTCTAAAAATTTCAATGTTAGTTCGAAAAAAAAACCGAGTTATTACATGGCAAAATTATAAAGATCTGAAGTAGGGAAAACCAATTCAGTATGGTTAAAAAAGATTTATAATGCTTTTTTCTTTAAGGAAGATATTTTCAGCTTATATACAGCAAATTGAACATAAGGCTCCCTTAACGGCACTTTAAAAAATGCTATTAATGGTATAATGTCCACATTAAATTACATCTTTCTTTGCGCTGTCCAGGTAATAGTCTAGGCAAAAGAGATGTCCATTTTAGCCAGTTTTATTTTGTCATTCAAACTTTAGGAATTTGTCTTGTGTTAGACTAAATAATGTAGGGTTCCTAGATAACAATTTTAACAATGCAAGTATACTTTTAAAATATACCAATCTAAATACTCTGCTTCTTAAAGTGTGAACACAATGTGGTATGCTAATTTTTTCAAACCAAAGGTATTTCCCTTTTTTATCCAGCTCAGAGAGAATTGTACAAGAAACAGGAGGGAACCAGTGACTGCATTTTTGAAGGCTGGGATCACCATCTTCAATTTTCTTCAATTCTTTATGTTGCCTATTAATGAATTTTCTAATAATTAATGAAATCAGCATCCTAAATCTCAGGATAAAAATAATAACCTAAAACAGAAACTTCCAAGCAAAAAAAGTATTTTTTTAAATAATTATTTTCCAAAATATGACGTGCTAAATACTTCAATATCATACCTCAATATCATAACTCTCTGATTCTTGAGGCAGGATGAAAGATACAGTTCTTGGCCAATTTGAATTGAATATTTTTTCTGGATATAACTGAATTCACACCTAAAATGTGTAGCAAACTTGTGTTTCACCTAAGCTAAGTAAGACAGCATAAAAACAGCAACATGGAAATTAAAATTCTCCCTCTTTCAAGCATATAAATATACTATTCTCTAATTATGTTTCCTTTTTTTTTTTTGAGTATCTATTTGTAAGCCTACAGCTTATAGTTTTTCCATCACAGAAACTCTACTCCATAGCTAATATGTAAACAGTACAAATTTTAAAAGTATCACTGACAATTTAGTATGCTACTTCACTGGCATACTAAGTCTCAGGAATAAATATCCCAAAAAAAGATCTCCTTCTTTGTGTTAAGATACTGGATAACAGTCATGTGCTTAGAGAATATTTCTTTTTTCAACAAATCTTCAATGGTTTCGAAATGATAGTAAACGTATGATGCCTATTGTTTATCTGCTACTGAAGTACTCTTTTCAGGTAATATGTAATTGAACAGCAGTCACAAAATTAGGCCAGAAAAGACATCCATAATCACCTCTTCTAATATCTTCATTTTATAAATTAAGATCCAGTTTAATTTGCTTTCTATATTATAAGCCTCACCTTTATAAGCCATTGAATGAGTCAAATGTTAATGCTGCAGAAAGCAAATTAGAGTTATATAAGCTGGAGATCCATAAGTAGTACCAAATTAACTAATGTTTATTTTTAATTGATTAAATAATATATATACTTTTAAAAAATTCATCTACCATAAGAATTATTGTTTGGTGAATGTATATATGTTATATAGGTATATTTTTTTATTGCCTTACAAAAGAATATTTGGAGGCCAGGAAAGGAATTACAAAGAGATATTCATTTGGTTTCACACATTATGCTTGACAGTTTTCTGAACATTGTGTTTTCAAAACAAAATAAATCTGACCTTTTCTGTAAATTCTAAAATTATTTCTAAAGAATTTTATTCCTCCATTCCCAATATGGTCACTTGTGATAGATATGGCTAAATAACTATTGAATTTACATGAATTAACACTTAAAATAGTCTCTTCCTAGTTTATTAAATACAATCATAAACATGTTTTACTTATAAGATAAATTCTAAAGAGATGTCAACATTCTCACCAAGTTCAAATATAAAGAAACATAGTCGGCTGGGTGCGGTGGCTCACGCCTATAATCCCAGCACTTTGGGAGGCCAAGGCAGGTGGATTACAAGGTCAGGAGATCGAGACCATCTGGGCCAACATGGTGAAACCCCGTCTCTACTAAATACAAAAAATTAGCTGGGCGTGGTGGTGCGTGCCTGTAGTCCCAGCTATGAGGGAGGCTGAGGCAGGGGAATCACTTGAACCTGGGAGGTGGAGAATGCAGTGAGCCGACATCCTGCCACTGCACTCTAGCCTGGGTGACAGAGCGAGACTCCATCTCAAAAAAAAAAGAAAAGAAAGAAACACGGTCTATCTCAGTAATTCTATCTGGATATATAGAGGCCAAATGATAACTTCAATATACAGAAGTTAGACAATGGTATGTTTATACTGTTATTAGAAAACCATTTACTCATATCAATTTCCAATAAAAGATCCTAAAGTACACCAGAAAATGACTGTGTAATTACGTAAGTTATGTCCAGCTTTTCTGCATTTTGATCAACCAAAATTCCACTCACAAAAAACATTAACACTCACATACAATCTAAATCCTAAAAAATGCTGTGGTAAAAAGTTGTAAGTTTTTTATTTGCTTTTTAATATATAAGCTTTCATCTCAAGACTGAGAAGATAAAATATTCTAGCATTTTTCTTCTGAATAAGAAGCTCTACTGTATATCACTCTTTTCTACTTATTAAGAAATGCCTTTTGGTGGGCAGGGAAAAAATAATCAACTGAACTCAGATTTTTTAATTTGGTTAGAGCAAGTTCCAGCCTTTCTTGGCCTTACCCAGATATCAGCCTTGGTGGTGATGGGTTTCCCTCCATAAAGGTTGATCATTTCAGGGGCTCTGTATGACAGAGTTGTATACCTGGCAGTAAATGAGTGAAATGGAGTGGAGATATATATATAAAAAAAAGACAGATAATACATTGTTTCTACATAAAACACTACAAAAAAGTTTTTTAGGCTCAATAACATTATACAGAATAATACTATTTTTAAAAACTCATTAAAAACCCATCAAGGATTAAACAATACAAAGCAACTATATACATTTTTATTCAACAAATACAACAGAATTATTAATAATCTAAAAGCTTAATTTTCTTTAAAATAAAAATCTTAATGACAATATATTGGGAACAGTTTTCCTTGAATTTCTTGTGTGAAATAACACAATTTGACTATTATGATCTCCTTATCAAAATATTTTAGTCTATTAAGTTAAAAGTAAAACTTTCACTCTCTCAAAAACTTATTTAATTTATATATTTACTAAGGAATTTGTTTTTATGGACTCTAACATACTTTCTTAACACAGCAGTAAATCTCTCTTGAGTTTGTTTTTATAACTGTTTTAAAAGTAATCTAGTTGCTACAATCTAACTGTACTCATTAAGTATATTTCTAATACTGACTGCCATAATAAACTATTTTGAATCAAAAGATATTGTGAATAAATATTTACTAATATAAAAACCCCATATTTGTTCTGAACAGAACATTTTAAAGTAGTGTTCAAATCTCATGTCAGAAATGATCAGAATATGAATGGACATCCTGTATCATGACGTAATTTAAGATTTGGTTTGAATGTTCACACATTTTACTTTGCAAGAAGTATCTTAAAACTCAACATTCTACCACCTTACTTTTTCCAAATCACTCTGACTAGTGAGAGAGTCTGAATGATACTACTGTGGAGGAATAACCTGAAAAAACAGAAATATAAACTTCACGAGGACAAGATTTCTGTTCACTATAACCCAGCACCAAGAAAGTATTGGCCCTTGATAAATACTTGACAACTGAATGAATGGTTAGTCTTTTAATAGAGCCATAGAGGACAAGAACCCCTCATGAACTTTTGTTCATTGCTAACAAACCATTCAATTGAACCTTACACTTCAGAAGGCAACAGCAAGAAATAAAATGTCTAGCAGGTCAGGGATGCTTGGACAGAATCCTATACAGCAGCCACTAAACATCACAATCCAATAAATTTTTTAAACTATATAAATGTATTCCCCAAGAAGCCAATGCAATACTTTATTATTCTCGTGTTCTTTAGGACTTCACATATTTACTAAAATGTTTGTGTTTTTTTATTGAATCTAACTAACATAATCATCATAGGCTAAGTTTCCTGAGTAAAAGTATGTAGCATAGAAATCCACAGTATTATACAAGTGGTCCATAGTAAAATCAGCTCTATTTGAACTATTTCAAAATACTGCAGTTCAAATAATGGCGCTAACATAGTATTAGGCAATAGAGAATTTGTGAGGAAGTGAAGACAGGCAACTTAGAAAAGGTAACTACTAAGAAAGTCCTATTCTGAGAGATCTTTCTGCATTCTGTATCATTTTATAAAGATAATCTAAAATTTACAAATAGTTCCACTTTCTAAAGTAGAAAACAAAAAATTTAGGGAAAAATTCTCACATGTACGCTAGCAACCACTGAAAGCACAGGATTAAGAGAACACATAATAGACATGATATTTTTCCAGTCCAGAGCTTTCCAGCATATTATTACAAAGTAACAGTGACAATGCAGTCTTAACACTTTCATTTTCCAGTTTTCAATGCATATAAAAGTTAATCCTTTTAATATTAAATAAGAAAAGCTTAAATGCTTTCAAATAATTTAACTTTTTCTTAACAAGCAAAAATCCTCAGAATCAGTAAAACAAAGATGTTTAACTGAACTCAATAATCATTTAAACCTCCCTTTAATGATTTCATTAATCACTACAGCTTATTTAACAAATTTCTTTATAAATCTGTTTATAATGTCAACTAAAAAGTCTGCATCTATGGCTAAATATATTTCCTACTGAGCTAGATCAGACGTGAATTAATCGACATCTATGGCATAGGAATATTTCAAAGAAATCTATAAATGAAATACCTAAAATCTGTATTAGCAGTGCTGGTCAGAGACTCAAATTCTAAAATTACCATGACACAAAGTACAATAAAGACAAATACTTACTTTTTAATTTCATCTTCTACTATGTTTACTCCATCTTTTTGAGGATTAAGAAATTTATTAGTGGCACTGCCAAAGTCACAAAGAACATAGTTCCCACCATCATTCAACAAAATATTTTCTACCTTAAGGAAAGAAAATCAATAATTAATAGTATTTTCAAAGTAAAAATTATCTTTTTACAATCATTGTAAAAAAATGGTTATTTTTACATACAAAGTTTATTTTTACACAATAAACATTGAAGGGTCTGTGCCGTATATAAAAATATGCATATATGTGCCATATATACACACATATGCATACATGCACACACACACACACATATATGTATGTATCATATGACATAAGATACCCAAATTATAAGGAAGGACAAATGAACTGGGGCAAAAATATACTATGTCTACTGCCTCTCTTATTAAGAACAGAGAAATGCTTCTTCCACCCCAGGTTGATTTGTACAGGGACAAAGAAACCCTAAATCCTCTCTAAAACTGCTTTTATGAAAGAGAACAACTAGTACCTGGCAGAATCCAGCTTCTCTCTTTTACTATACCTCCATTTTTCTCCTTTTATGACACTTAGCTTCTCTATCGATAATAATGAAAACCACTGGAATTCCATCTTTGACCTCTAGTACCATTTTTTATTTAAAAATGAAAAATACAAATTTGACTTAATTTTGAGATCAGAGTTAAAATAACTAAAATAAATTATTATAGTCAGTTTCTTGAATAGTAAAATGTGGGTTCAGAGCCAAATCTACTTACTAGCATATGGACCCTTAGACAAACTGCTTAATCACTCTTATGCTTTAGGTTCCCTATGTAAAATAGGGACAACTAGAATATTAATCTGCCATATAGAACCGCTGTGAACATTAAATGAGTTAAAATATGTAAAGTGCTTCAAACAGTCGGGAATATGGTAAGCACCTAATAAATTACACGTTTTTTTCACAATGTCTTCTATTTTTATGATAGTCTTAGATAAGTAATTCATTTATTTCCATTTTATCAAAATACTCAGTTTCATTATAACTTTTCATCTATATTTCATTTTAGTATACTTTTTTAAAGATTTGTACAAAATAAAGATTCAGAAAGAAATCTACTTAAAACATATATTGTTACATATATTTATACATATAAAAAGAACTAACCATATAAAATATGGGCAAAACAAAATTATGCAATTAAATGTCTTTTCTGAATTATTTCTGAAAATATCAACTTTGCATGCAAAAAAATAATGAACTATAACAACACAAAAAATATCATACCAAAGTGTTAGAGGAAATGGAAAAGCTGCATATTCAAAAGAACAGGAACTACCCTGGTTACCCAAATTAAGGGCAGAGGCCTGCAGTTATGCACTTCAATCCTGCCTTATCTCCTATCATCCTAGGTTTTCTAGATGACACTTTCATGATTAACAGCCTACAATCTTAATGACATTTTCTATTCTCTTTTATCTTACAAGCATTTCATAATCAACTTTCATAAAATTATGTATCATCAGTCAGAACTGGGATTTATTCATTCAATATTTATTAAGACTCTTCTACATATCAAGCACTATTCTAATTGTTTAAATATACCACTAAAAATGAAAGGAAAAAGAAAGGTCCTGGCCCTCATAGAGCTTATATTCTAGAGGGAGAGGACAGAAAATAAATAATAGGCATAGTACATAACCAAATTATACCATATCACAGGAAGTAATAAGGGCTAATAAGAGGTAGAGCAGGTTAGGCTGTAGTGATAAATACGGTGGCTCATGATGGGACTCACTGAGAAGGTGAACCTGAGCAGACCTGAAAGAGTGGAAAGGGTGGCCAGGGTAATATCTAGGCATAAGGCATTTCAGAGGGAGTGATTTTTGTAATCTCAGTGTTCTTGTGGGCATGAAAGAAGACTTTGGTGGTTCTAAATTACGTCTCTAGCAATATGATGCCAGACTATTCAATATTCTTTGGGGCCTTTTTCAATGTAACAAGTGAGTATCAATACAAGAGGTCAAGAGTCCACAAGAAGATAAAGTCACCTTCAAGGTAACTGTCACCAAATTAGAGAAAATAATAGAAAACTGTACTAACTTATAAACAAAAAGAAAAAGAGACCCATATATGGTCTCCTCCAGTATCTCTTGAGAACACCTTGATGCTTAATATGGATTACAGGAAATAGGAGGAATGCTGGCTGAACTGAGAGAATAGTGTGGAGAGACATTTACCATATTTCTGTGAAAAGTCACATTTCTGCTCAAATGAAATCTTTTAAAGAAGCCTACTATATAAAACAGAGATACAGGGTAGAAAGTACAAAATCTGCTTCCATAGCCATGCTAGAAATCCTCAAAGTCAAGTAAAGCACAATTTCAAATCTACAATCACTCTACATGACCTCAGGAAATACAGAATGGGAGAGAGACACTAATCTCAAAGCTAGTTTTTATACTGATTTAGACGAAAATAGTCTAAGAACATTTAAACTCCAACTTATTACTTAATCCATAGGTATTCTAAAGTTCTTACCTTTAGATCCCGGTGAATTATTGGAGTCTTACACTGATGCAACCTTGCAACAGCTTCACAGGTATCACAGAATATCTGTAACACTTCTGGTTCTGTAAAACCTGTCTGTAGCTTCTTATTCATTTGATTCACTACCTGCCCAGCTAACCAAAAAAGTAATTTTGAGAGGACATATTTTTAATTAATAAAGTCTATCACAAGTAAATTAAGAAATGTCTTTCTGGTCTCAGGTAATAGGAAATTGGCTTTTTCATAATTCTCATGTAAGAATGCTTATTGTATCATACTGTACTGATGCAATGATGCACATTTTTTCATATTTCACATCTCAGAGATCATCTTAAAATAGATAAATGTCTTATTAATGCTATTGCCCACTTTTTTTTAACATCTCTGAAATCAAAGTATATCTTATAATTAACAGCATTCTGGTTTGAAGAAATAGTTATTCATCACCATGCTATTTATAAGGTAAACAGTGGTGAACAAAAAATAAGGTTTCTGTTATCACAGACTTTACAGTCTAAAGGTAGACACAATCACACAAATAGATACACAGTAATAATTATATATCATAACAATAATATGAAAGAACTTACATAAGAACCTAACTTTAACTTGTGAAGAAAGATGAGGAGGAGAGGATACCAGATCAGGTCTAAGGAAGTGGTATTTGAGACCGAAGGATAATGAGGAACCAACCAGGCAGAGACTTGTAAGAACAATATACTAGCAATAGTGAGTACTATATACAAATGCCATCAGTTTTGGAAAGAGCTTGATTACTTTGAACAACTCAAAGAAAGCCAATATGATTTTCTTTACAACTTAAAGAAAGCTGATATGGTCTAGGAAGCTGAGAAGACAGTAAGGTGACATGAAATTGGCAAGGCAGACAGGGATCAGCCATATTTTAGATTCTATCTTGAAAGCCAAAGAAACTTCCTCATCTGACTTTTTAAAAAAATCTCGAGCGTTAAGGGAATCAAAATCGGTTAGGAGGCAAAGTCTATCCAGACAAAAGATAATGGACCAAAATAATCAACTAAAATCAAATTGCCACACATATACCATTAAGCCCTGAGAAAGGTATATATTACAATATAGAAATTGATAGTCTAATAATAATTATTAACAAAAGATTAATCATCATTATATTTTAATAATGCAAGTAAGCATATGATTCATACAGAAAGCAGTCTAATAAAAATTGAGTATGGGAATTTAAAAAAACATAAAGCATTCATTAACTTGCAACTTTCCTTTAACAAGTTCAGATAAATAAACATTTGCTATTTTATAATCTATGAGAAGGTACATATATACTCATTCCTTTTATTATTACTGTGTAAGCAGTCTTCTTTTCTGAGAATATTTTTCTCATAGGATTATAAAGCAAAAAGAACATTAATTTTACCTATGAATGCCCAACTTTCAAAAGACTCAAGTGTAATTTGTTCAGATTATCTCAGAAGACTGGGGCATATGACCATGCAGCAACTTCTTCCACTCCCTTGTCTGGCATACTCCCTGTCTATTCTAAACTAGACAAGCTGGTTTTAACCAAAAATTAAATAGGATTAAAAAATGCTTTCTCGGTGTTCATTCACATTCATGAAATATCGCATTATACATAAGGAAATCATAACCTTGAAATCACTACACCTCTTCCAAACTTTCAATATTATAAGAAGCAGAATAAACTTTAAAAAAACGTTAATTCTCTTTCTTCAATCTAGAGACCTTTGAAGTAGGAATCCTGAATCACAAAAAACAAGTCCCCAGAGAAAACTAAAAACTGTATTTGGTTAAATTTCAAATGAAATAAAATTTCATTACTCAATATCAGTTTTCTGAAAATTAAATAAAGCTTAAAAGAAGGTAAAAAATCAGATTTGGAAATCAAACATTATATATTAATGGTCTTTTAAAATGAGGTGCCTATAACTCTCAACGCTTTCCATATTTTCCAAAGAGGTATCATCTCCAAACAAAAGCTTTTTATACTCTGCGAAATGTCATCACTAACATTAAAAAGTCAACATTTTTCTAACCTCTTAAAAGTGTTCAACAACCTCCATATCTGAGTACACATATTACTGATCAATTTTAAAAAACCATAAATGCAACCTAGTATTCCACTTAAATTTTAATAATGTGACTTATTTATTTTTACAAGTGTGATGGTTAATACTGAGCGTCAACTTGATTGGATTGAAAGATGCAAAGTACTGATTCTGGGTGTGTCTGTGAGGGTACTGCCAAAGGAGATTAACATTTGAGTCAATGGGCTGGGAAAGGCAGACCCACCCTTAATATGGGTGAGCACAAGCTAATCAACTACCAGCATAGCCAGAATAAAAAGCAGGCAGAAGAACTGAAAAGAATAGACTGGTTTAGCCTCCCAGCCTACATCTTTCTCCTATGCTGGATGCTTCCTGCCTTCAAACATCTCTCCAGTTGCTTCAGCTTTTAGACTCAGACTGGCTTTCTCACTCCTCTGCTTGCAGATGGCCTATGGTGGGACCTTGTGATCTCGTGAGTTAATACTCCTTAATAAACTCATATGTATGTATATGTGTATACACACACACACACACACACACACACATATCCCATTAGTTCTGTTCCTCTAGAAAACCCTGGTTAATGCAACAAGATTATTCAATTTTATCTGTGGTAGATTGCATTATTGGTCCCAAATCTTCAACCTTCACTTTTTACATGTGCTTTGTTATGTAACTCTGCAGTTTGTCCCAGTAAATGAGGCAGAGAAAATTTCTTGCTGTTTGATTTGGGCTTAGTCATGTGATTTTCCCTGACCAACAGAAAAAGGTAAAAGTGTCAGTGTCCCAGTCCCAAGACTAGACCTTAAGAGACCTCACATACCTTCTTGTGTTTCTACCATCCACATGAGAAAACCATCCCCAGGGCAGCTTGATAGTGCCAGAAAGAGGACAACGAACATGTGAAGCAGAGATATTCCAACTAATCCCAGCTAACAACTGGCATGTGAGCAAGCCCTGCCAAAATCTGCAGTGCCACCATATCAAGCTAAGTTGAAAGCAGCTGGACCATGGATACACAGGCTATAATAAATGAATGTTGTTTTATGCTATTGAGTTTTGGGATTTTTTTTTAATTAAGGAAATACTAACAGATATATAATCCATGGAAACTATACAGAATACTTCCTAAAAACATACATTAAACATTTATAAATTTTCATAATTTATTTACAAATTATTCATAAAATAATAGAAATGTACTCAAAATACCAATACTGACTTCTGGAAGTCTGAGACCTAAAGGATATAATTTATCTTTAATCTAGGCATCAAAATATTAACAAATAAAGCAGTACCAAACCATGAATTTACAAAGACAAAAGATGATTACACTTGACAAAGATCATCATAAACACTGGATACCTAAAACCATGGAAGGGGATATGGGCTCTGTCACATATTCTTCTACTGTCTATACAGTTTTATTCCTACATAATAAAAACCAATGTCCCTGAGCTTATCTTATTGATTCATCTGAGAAAAGAGACTGAGCATACTGCATTCAGAAAATTGAGCATACTCCATTCAGGCCTTCTGGATTTCTTCTCTGAATAAATAACTGCCCACTTAGAGGGTACAACTAACCTGTAATACATGCAGTAAGTAACCTTAGCAGGCAAAATATCCAAAGAAAACTTTGAACAAAAAAAGAAAGAGCATGGTCTGGCTATGTCCACACACCCAAATCTCATCTTGAATTCCCACGTTATGAGAGGGACCCCTTGGGAGGTAATTGAATCATGGGGGAAAGTCTTTTCCATGCTGTTCTCATGATGGTAAGTTTCAAGAGATCTGATGGTTTTAAAAAGAGGAGTTCCCCTGCACAAGCTTTCTCTCTTTGTCTGCTGCCTCCATGTAAGATGTGACTTGCTCTTTCTTGCCTTCTGCCATGATTGTGAGGCTTCCTTAGCCTCGTGTAACTGTAAGTCCAATTAAACCTCTTTCTTTTGTAAATTGCCCAGTCTTGGTTATGTCCTTAGCAGCGTGAAAACGAACCAATACATCAAGGAAAAGAAAAAAATTAAAAACTAAAATTAGCTGGGTACAGTAATTCTGCCCTTAATCCCAACACTTTGGGAGGCTGAGACAGGAGGATTTCTTGAGACCAGGAGTTCCCTGCTGGGCTACAAAGCAAGATCCTGTTTCTACAAAAAATTAAAAATTAAAAAATTGGTGGCCGTGTGCGACTCTAATCCCAGCTACTCAAGAGGCTGAGGCAGAAGGATCACTTGAGCCCAGAAGTTTGAGGTTGGACTCCAGTGTGGAAGACAAGTGAGAACTTGTCTCAAAAAGAAAGAAAGAGCAGAGGTGGAAAGAGAGAAAAAATGAACAAACTGAAATTACTATCTACAGACAACAAAAGATTTGCAGCTAAAACAAGAACAAGGTGTATTTTTTCCTCATAGCATGGTATGATGTATTTTATCAAAGAACACTGAGAGAACAATAAAGAGTCAAACTTGGAGCAGTGGCTCATGCCCATAATTCCAGCACTCTGGGATGCCGAGGTAGACAGATCACTTGAGGTCAGGAGTTCAAGACCAGCCTGGTCAACATGGCGAAACCCAGTCTCTAATAAAAATGTAAAAGATTAGTCTGACGTAGTGGTGCACAGCTGTAATCCCAGCCACACGGGAGGCCAAGGTACAAGAATTGCTTGAACTCAGGAAGCAGAGGTTGCAGTGAGCTGAGATGGTGCCACTGCACACTCTAGCCTGGGTAACAGTGCAAGACTCTGTCTCAAAAAAAATGGAGTCCCTGGAAATTAAAAATAATATAGCAGAAATACAAAATATATTTTGTATTTCTTGTTTGGTATATCTCTATAGAGAAAAGCTAAAAGATACAGAGGAATGTTTCCAACAAAGAAAAAAATAAGAAAGAAAAGAAAATCAGAGGATTATCCATCTAGAAAGCTTGAAACATCTTAAGAAATATGAGAAGTCCAGTAAGAGAGAACAGAAAATGGAAGACAAAAACGCTAGGTGCCCCATAAAAAGCATACAGAAAAACGACACACACTAAGGCACATACATTTTGAAATTTCAATATGTTGTAGATAAAGGAAAGAGTCAAACTAAGTGTCCATGAAGATAAGAAGTCACATAGAAAAATTAAGCAATCACAGTAACATCGATTTCTCAACAACACTTAAGAAAAAAGTGGAATGATGTCTTCAAAATTCTAGACCAAAATTATTTCCAACATATAATGTTTTAGCCAGCTAAATTCACAATCAAATGTAGGCCCTGAATAAAGATATGTTTATATAGGCAAGGTTTCAAACCATTTCTCCAAAAAATCCAGTTAGAAAGCTACTGAAAAGCATACTCTTCCAAATTAGGAAGTGAAAACAAAGGAGAGGCATAAGTAGCAGGGAATCCAAGATAAAAGGGAGGCAAAAGTAATTTCTAGAATGACAGCCAAATGCTGTTCAAACTTAAGCAGGATTTTAAGGGAAGATAAAACAAAATCAACAAAAATATAAAAATGTCTAAACATACTTTATAATAATTTGTACTTCTATTGGAAAATGTGGGTCTAAAATACTAATATACATGAAGAAAATCAGGCAAATGAAAAACAAGGTAATTACTAACTCCAGGAAAACACAAAGTATAAGAAAATACAATTACAATCACCATTAAACGGTAGAATAAACACTGATTTAGTCCAAAACCTAAGAGTATCTATACTAGAAGTAAAATCCCTACCTTTTCTTAGAGACAATATCTAAAACAGAAAATCAGAAATAGTACTAGAAAACTTTCTTTCAATAGCCTCCTCATGCCCAGAATTACATACTTCCCTTTTCTAAGCCCTTTCTCTTTTGTACCTGTAGGAAATCACTAAAACTACTCTTTTATATAATGCAGTGTAGAAATATGAAAGTAAATATGAGAAGAAACATCTCAAATATTTTAAAGACATTGCCTCTGAGAAGAGAGATGAGGCAGGAGGGTACTGATTTAGCCACAGCTTAACAGAACTATTTGACTTTTCAAACCATATACATAAATTACTTTGATAAAAATTTACAATTTCATATACCACAGAGCTTGATGATTTGAAGGCTGGATAACTATTTCTAAGAAAATTTTAAAACAAAACAATGCATTCCTCAAAAAACAAATATGATCATTCTTCTACTTTAAAATAAAATTTGCCCCTAAAACTTGAATGTTATTTGATTCTCCTTTTAAGATGTCTTCTAAGTGACAATTAATTAAACTTATCCAGGGTTATGATTTTGTGTGATTTAAGTATCTTTTAAAAGTTACAAGTAGGCAAGGGCTATTAGTAAACTCTAATCTAACTAAGAATTAGCACTATAAATGCTAGAATTCAGGAAAATGGGGTAGAAAAAAATGAATTATCTTCTCCTAAAAGAGATTACAGTACTTTATAGCAGAGAAGATAAGATATAAAAAAAAACAGTTGAGTTTCTTTGTTCAAACAATCATGGGGGGCAAGTCTTTCCCTCGCTGTTCTCATGATGGTGAATAAGTCTCGTGAGATCTGATGGGTTTCAAAAGGGAAGTTCCCCTGCACAAGCTCTCTTCTGTTAAATCGAGTTTGTTAAACTCAATTAAATGCTAAATGTTGCCAGGTGCAGTGGCTCACGCCTGTAATCCCAGCACTTTGGGAGGCTGAGGCAGGTGGATCACGAGGTCAAGAGATCGAGACCATCCTGGTCAACATGGTGAAACCCTGTCTCTACTAAAAATACAAAAAATTAGCTGGACATGGTGGTGCATGCCTGTAATCCCAGCTACTCAGGAGGCTGAGGCAGGAGAATTGCCTGAACCCAGGAGGCAGAGGTTGCGGTGAGCCGAGATGGCGCAGTGCACTCCAGCCTGGGTAACAAATCGAAACTCCGTCTCAAAAAAAAAAAGTTAAATGTTAGTTAAATATTGTGCATGGAAATAAGTTACAAATACATCATAGTAGGCATTGTAACAGTGATTGACTTCATTTTCCCCTATCTTTCCCTCCTTAAAAGACTGCAGTAAACAAGTTATTTTCTCTAACATCACCAACATCCCCCTCTTCCTCCTCAACCATCGAGAAACTGTAAGAGTTTCTAGAACAGTAATTACTGTCTCAAGAGAATGTAATTGCAAATCAGGGCTCCCTAGAACTACAAGTGCCAAATATAACTTGCAAGTTTGTAGGAAATAGATTATTTGCCTCCACCTTTCCACACATTAAAATTTTTAAATGTCAGGAATTTTTTATTATGATAATGATTAAGGTATGCTATACAAATAAATATTTATTTTAAAATATCACACTAGGTCCAAATAAAATGTGATTTTCTATCTTCTAATGTTTACAAAAGAACACCAAGAAACTACATAAAACAGGTTTATAAAGTCTACAGATCAAAATGCATCCTCTAAATTTGTTAAATTTAATATTTATGATAACACAGGAGTGTGATGGAAAAATCTTACAACATTAATATTGACACATTATGCTCTTCTTGGTTCGATTACCAGAGAATTCTATGGAGAGAAAGAACTGTAACTCTGTACCTGCTTAGATTTCCTATTTTAAACTCAATACCACTTTTCTCATTCTGCATTTACATGCTTATATCATAACTGCAGCAACTATGACTAGGTTTGGAATAATGTTTTTGTTTTTGTTTTTTTGAGACCGAGTCTCGCTCTGTTGCCAGGCTGGAGTGAAGTGGCGCAATCTCAGCTCACTGCAATCTCCACCTCCTGTGTTCAAGCGATTCTCCTGTCTCAGCCTCCTGAGTAGCTAGGAGTACAGGCACACACCACCACACCCAGCTAATTTTTGTAGTTTTAGTAGAGACGAGGTTTCACCATGTTGGCCAGGATGGTGTCCATCTCCTGTGTGATTCTTGCCCTCCAAAGAGCTGGGATTACAGGCATGAGCCACTGAGCCACCGAGTGCAGCCTTGAATAATGTTTTAACAATATTCCTAATTAGATAATGAAAGCTAAGATTACAATAAGTGACTAGATTAAGTTAGTAGCTACCCTGGAAATAACAAAGATACCTAGCAACCCATTTAAGAAGTTTTTTATTATAGTACAAATACAGAAAAATACTTACCTCGACAATATTCCATTAAGACAAGGACTTCCCATACATTATCACTAATTGAATTAACAGCACAGTCCAAATAACCCACAATATTTTTGTGACCAGATAACTCTTTCTGGAAAGAAAAAAGAAATAAAAACTGGAAAATATACATTTTAGAGGTATAGCATTAATAATGGTCTGAAGCCTAAATTATAGTATTTAAAGAATTGCAAAAATTAATAATTAAACACAAGTATAGAATCTAACATATTTCAACCAAGCAAAGGCTCCTATGGTTTCAATAAAAAGTTTACCTGCATGTGACTGTAATTTTCCAACAGACAAATATGAATATTATTTTTAAATTAAACTGTGAAAATGGTTCACTCAAAAGTAATAGTTCCCAAAAGTGTACAAAAACCTTGAAAATATTAGAACTTTTATATTTGTTTTTATCTAAAAAAAATTTTTTTAATTAACCTCTAATATTTATTAACAATTATATGCTCATTTATTTTGCCTGCAACATACTGCAATTTATGTGTAGCTATTACATGAATTTAGATACATGCACTTTTAACTAAATAACCTAAAAAAATGAACAAATGGCTAAAAAGATTTCTGAAAAGAAACCACAAAGATAATGCTAATATAAATATAAGAAAAGAAACTTTTGCATCTAGTTAGTACAAGATAGTCATCTGCATACAATGAGGTGAGAAATAACAATCTACTCTGTTCTCCCGGAAAATTTAAAAACAACTATCAAAAATATTATTTAAAATAAATTTACATCAAATATCATTAGCAATAAACTTACTTTTAACTATGCAATGTAATTTGAAATAAGGGCTAAGGGCCATTGAACATGTGAATTATTTATAAACAAGTATACATAATGAGGATGTCATCAAAAAAGTTGATAGACCACACTAAAGAACTAATTTCCCTAAAAAAATTTCAAAAGCATAGGATTTGAGTGTGCTACTGTTCATATACTATATGCCTCAAAATCATACAAATTCTACTGAATAGAAGAATTACGACACAACAGTCCAAGGCTGTAATATCTGGACTTAAGTTAGAGAACTTAGTCTAAGCTTTGCCATTATCATGAGGTAAATCTTTTCACCCTTCTAGCTAATAGCCTTACCTTTAAAAAAGTAAATGTCAAAGCCTAATCATCTCTAATCTAGTTAAGAAATAGAGAAAAGCAGAATTCAAAAAAGTCAGATACACTTATTGGCAAATGCACTTATTTGCTAACAAAAGGATTGTAATATTTGTGTTAGTAAAAACATTGATACAAAATAAGAAATCCCTCTCTTAGCAGGTGGATAAGTAGGACTGACATTGATAACAAGTGTTGGCAAGAACATGGAAAAATACATTCCTTAGAACATGAAATGGTTCCACTGCTATGGAAAATAGTCAACATAAAATTACATATGATTCAACAATTCTACTCCTAGGTATATACCCAAAACAACTGAAATCAGGTACTCAAGCAAATAGATGTATGCACGTATTCATGGCAGCATTAATGATAATAGCCAAAAGATAGAATGCAGCCCTAATGCACATAAAATAATTTTTTAAACTCCATCAACAGATGAATGATAAATTGTGTTACGGACATATAATGGGATATTATTCAGCCATAAAAAATAAAGATGCTATAATTATGTGAATTTCACCTCAACAAAACAGTCTTCAAATATATATATATATATATACACCTGTGTGTGTGTTTGTATGTAAGCATTCAACGAACCATGGAGAAGAGAAAAGAGGATGAAGAGGAGGGGAGAAATGGGAAAACAAGGAGTAAGAACAAGAACAGGAAGCCATCTAGAGCATAAGCAACCCTAATAAAGAAGAAAATTTTTATTTTAACTATATATATATATGTATATTTACTATTTAGGCTAGTTAAGTTAGAGTCATGCAGTTTGTAATGGCCTATTATTTTTCATTTTTCCTAATATTTAAAAAGAGGTTTTCCCTTGCTGAAAGATGCCTTGCCATAAATTGCAGAATTCACAGAAAAACAATCAACATTAGAACATGATATTAAAAGTGAAAAACAAAACTATTGTTTGTGAACAGAAACACATACAGTGAATGCAAAGGAATAAAAACACAGAATTCAGGACAGTACGATTTTTTGGATAAGGAGAACAGTAAAGGTGTACCTCATTTTATTGTGCTACATTTTTTTAAAGTGATACTTTGCTTTATTATGCTCTGTGGATACTACATTTTATACAAATGAAAGGTTTGTGGCAATCCTGCATAAAGCAAGTTTATAGGCACCATTTTTCCAGCGGCTTAGTTTATTTTTCCACTATCTCTGTGTCATATTTTGGTAATTCTCACACTATTTCAAACTTTGCCTTTATTATAACAACAGTTATGATAATTTGTGATCAGCGATGGTTAATGTTATTATTCTAATTGGTGTATGGCAACACAGACTTTGCCCATATAACACAGTGAACTGAATCAATAAATGTAATCTGTGTTCTAACTGTTCCACTGGCTACCCATTCCTCAGGCTCCCTCTCCTTGGGATTCCCTATGTCATAAAACACTACAATGTTGAAGAGTCCCACAACTCTTGTTTTAATCAAAAGCTAGAAATGATTATGCTAGTCAGAAAGGCACATGGAAAGCCAAAGATGGACAACACATAAGCCTCTTACACCAGTTAGCCAAATTTTGAATGCAAAGGAAAAATTATTGAAGGAAATTAAAAGTGTTACTCCCATGGACATACAAATGGTAAAAAAGCAAAAGAGCCTTATTGCTGACATAGAGAAAGTTTTTAATGGTCTAGACAGGTCAAACCAACTGCTACATCCTCTTAAACCAAAGCTTTAATTAAGCCAGAGCAAAGCCCCAACTGCCTTCAATTCTATGAAGGCTGAGGAAGTGAGAAAGCTGCAGAAGAACAGTCTGAATCTGGCAGACGTTGGTTCATGAGGTTTAAGGAAAGAAGTCATCTCCAGCACATGTAAGTACTAGGTAAAGCAGGAACTGCAGCAAGTTATTCAGAAGATTTAACTAAGATCATTTATGAATGTGGCTACATTAAACAACAGATTTTCAATGCAGACAAAAACAGCCTTCTACTGGAAGAAGATGCCATCTAGGATTTTTATAGCTAAAGAGAAGATGTTGATGCGTGGCTTCAAAGTTTCAAAGGACAGGTTAACTCTCTTGTTAAGGGCTAATGCAACTGGTGACTTTAAGTTGAAATCAGTGCTTACTTGCCATTCCAAAACTCCTAGGCCCTTAAGAACTATGCTAAACCTACTCTGCCTGTGCTCTATAAATAAAACAATAGCCTGATGACATCACATCTGTTTCCACCATGGTTAATGAATATTTTAAGCCCACTGTTGAAATCTGCTAAGAAAATAAGATTCCTTTCAAAACGTTACTGCTCATTGACAATGTGCCTAGTCACCCATGAGCTCTGATGGAAATGTACAAAAAAATTAATATTGTTGGCTGGATGCAGTGGCTCTTGCCTATAATCCTAGCACTTTGGGAGTCCAAGGTGGGCAGATCACTTAAGCTCAGAAGTTCAAGACTGGCCTGGACAACATGGTGAAACCCCATCTCTACTAAAAATACAAAAATTAGCCAGGCGTGATGGCAGCTGCCTGTAGTCCCAGCTACTCGGGAGGCTGTTCCACAAGAATCCCTTGAATCTGGGAGGCAAAGGTTGCAGTGAGCCAAGGTTGCACCACCACAATCCAGTCCGGGCAACAGAGCAGGATTTCATTTCAAAAAAAAAAAGACAGAAATTAATATTGTTTTCATGCCTGCTAACACAACATCCATTCTGCAGCCCAAGAGTCAAGCAGTAATTTTAACTTTCAAGTCTTATTATTTAAAAAACGTATTTCTTTTGTTTTTTTGAAACGAAGTCTCACTCTGTAGTCCAGACTAGAGTGCAATGGCAAGAACTCGGCTCACTGCAACCTCCACCTCCTAGGTTCACAGGATTCTCCTGCCTCAGCCTCCTGAGTAGTTGGGATTACAGGTGCCCACCACCATGTCTGGCTAATTTTTTGTATTTTTAGTAGAAACGGGGTTTCACTAGGTTGGCCAGGCTGGTCTCGAACTCCTAACCTCATGATCTGCCCGCCTCGGCCTCCCAAAGTGCTGGGATTACAGGCATGAGCTACCACACCCTGCCTATATTTCTTAAGACTATAGCTGCCATAAATAATTATTTCTCTGATGAATCTGGGCAAAGTAAATTAAAAACCCAAAGTCCTACTGTGGATAAAGTGCTATCAAATAGCTACAGAAAAAGCTTTCATAAAAGGTAAAGTTAACTGATGTAGCAAACTTCACTGTGTCGAAAACCCATTTATGCCTACTGTTCCATTATTGGAATGCTAAGCATGTGGGAGTTATTTATATCCTACTCAATGTCATCGCCTAGGTCTGATTTTTCACTCACGCAAAATTCAAAAAATTGCAACCTCCAGCATAAATGGGTTAAGAAACTTCCACAGCTACCCCCACCCCTTCCTTCAGAAACCACCATCCTGATCAGTCAGCAGCCTTCAACATCAAATCAGGTGATGATCACCATTTTTTAACAAGAAAGTCTTTTTAAATTAAAGTATATACAATTGTTTTAGACATAATGCTATTGTACATTTATAGACTACAGTGTAGTGTTGTGGTGTTATGATACTCTATGTTGGTTTGTGTCCACAGTTCCTGGTTTATAACTCCCAAAGCCCTAGTCACAGTCTTTTGTTATAATGTTGGGTATCTTAGCCCTCAGGAAACAGAATCTCTCTCCTGCCCTCCTTTCACCCTTCTGATTGTAGATCTTAAAACTCTCCCCAGAGAGAGTCCTGCACTATACCCTAAGGGAAGGAATGCTGACATCATGAAGCTTCCATAAAAACCTAAGAGGACTGGGTTCAAAGAACTTCTAGATAGCTGAATGTGTGAAAGTTCCTAGAGATGTGCCTAGGGAGGGCAAGGAAGCTCTGAAACCCTTCCCCCACACCTCATACCCTATGCATCACTTCATTTGTATCCTTTGCAATATCCTTTAAAATATACCACTAACCCCAAAGTGTTTCCCAGAGTTCTGTGAGCCACTTCAGCAAATTAATAGAACCTAAAGAGTGGGTGGTGGGAACCTTTTAAGTTGGTCTGTCAGAAGATGAAGGCTAGAAGACTCAGCACGTCTGCTCTTCCATCTTCTCCTGCCTGCTTTATTCTAGCCATGCTGGCAGCTCATTAGATGGTACCCACCCAGATTGAGGGTGGGTTTCCTCTCATGCTACCTGGGGAATGCAAGGAGGAAATACTCTTAAGCAGGGAGCCTCTTTATCCCTAGGACTGACCCTAGAACTGTGTGAGGTACAGCTGGATTCTACTGACACTTGGACAGTACTATGAACAGCTCTTAATTGACCAATAAGGAGTTAATTGGTTTACAGACGGCAGTTCCAAATTGGATGGACAACATTCTGTTTGGATGACTGCTACTTGGATCAAAGAATGTAAAAACATATCAGTGAGGTGGGCTGAATTACATGCAGTTTGTTTTTTTTTTTTTTTAGCAGTAATGGAAGAAATGAACAGTGGTGGAGGTCCCTGTGTTTTGAGTTCTTTAGTGACTCACAGGTGGTGATCAATGGCCTGCCACAAAACCTATGGAAATTTGAGGGGTGCATTAAAGTAGAACAAGTCAGTGCCCATCAGAAGAACTCCCTTCCAGGTTGGGAAGGTGAATGGAATCAGAAAGCAGGTCTGTGCATGTGCTCCCTTGGAGGTGTCCATCTGGGTCCATGAAATGAGTGCACATACGGATACTGAAACAGTGTAGACATGGGGTGAATGAAGACATATTCCTTTTGTACCTTCACAGGCTCATAATGCCGGTAAGAACTGTTATAAGTGTCAGCAAGACAGAGACTGCCAATGGCTATGGATGAGATTCCCTGAAGGGAAGGCCCTGAACATAGCTGGCAAGTGAGACTGATGCTGGCAGCCCTCAGGGGTCTACGAACAGGTCTTGACAGGAATAGATGCTGACTCTGGAGTGGGCTTTGCTTATGCAGTGGAAGATGAAAATAATCAGAATGCCATAAAAAAGCCAGAACAAAAGAAAGAGTATGGATTTACAGGGCCAACCATCATTTCTTCAGACCAAAGAACACAATGTACATCCCATAATGTTCAGCAATGGGGCAGAGAAAGGTCCTCCTCAGAGTAATAATTTGATAGAGAAGTAGAATAGGCAGCTGAAACATTGGTCTAACACAGGGGCAGATAAAAAGAGTAACCATAACTTTTGTATGCACTGGAAAGCCAAAAAAATTTTTCTTTGTTGCAACGTTCACTTTATTGGAGTAGTCCTGGAACTAAACTGATATCTCCAAGGTTTGCCTGTACAGGGATACAGTGGAGAAGAAACACACAGAGGCTCCAATAGCATAAGTTGGGTTTAATTTCTTAAGCAGGATGGTGAACAAACTTGGTATTTACTATATAACTCTGAAAATATTTCTATCCTGAAAATACTCCGCAACTAAAATGTATTTAAGAAAAAAAAAAAAAGAAAGTAGAATAGCTTTAAAGTATACATAGGGATGTGTGTAGGTTACATGCAAATACTACATTTTACACATAAGGGCTTTGCATATTCTCGCACCTGAGCATCTACAGAGTTTAGTATCTGTAGTGGGTCCTGGAACCAAATCCCCAACCAAGGGATGACTATACTACAAATTACCAGATTATCTTCTAATTTAATGATCTTCAAAGATTATTATAAATAAGCAGCTTTCATAAAAGCTAGTTAATGTTACAGAAAAAAATAAAACAGGCCAGGCAGAGTGGCTCACAGCTGTAATGCCAGGATTTTGGGAGGCCAAGGCAAGCAGATCACTTGAGGTCAGGAGTCCAAGACCAGTCTGTCCAACATGATAAAATGCCATCTCTACTAAAAACACAAAAAATTAGCCAGGTGTGGTGGTGGGCACCTGTAATCCCACCTATTCGGGAGGCTGAGGCATGAGAATTGCTTGAACCTGGAAGTTGGAGGTTGCAGTGAGCTGAGATCATGCCACTACACTCCAGCTTGGGCAGCAAAGCAAGACTCCATCTCAAGGAAAAAAAAAAAACCGCCAAATTTCTGAAAGAGAATTACTTTTTCACTTACCATAATTGTAATTTCCCTTTTACACACATTGAGGTCTGGCATGTTATTGACATACATTCGCTTCAATGCACATCGGATTCCACCGTGAGTACGCACAAGGAAAACTGTGGAGAATCCACCTAAAAAAACAAAGCACCAACTAATTTAAAAGAAACAGAAACAAATGCCAAAATCATGTAACATCATTGTGGAACTTACTATTGGAGGAAAATAAACAATGACTGCGCCCAAGACAAAAATAAGTGCAATAAGCTACTAGTAGATTAAACACCAAAACACTGGCTTCCAAAGCCAATAATGAAGTAGTACTTAGAGGAAAACATGCTTCTCAAATGTAGATGTTTCTCTCTTAAAGGCTAAAAGACTAAAATTTTATCTTTTGCATAGGAATATCTCTCATACAGTATAATAAAAAATGTCACAATTATGTTACTAAAGTTTGGTATATACAAGTGATTGCCTACGTATCAGACTCTCCCTCTTGGATGACAAAACATTGATGTTATTTAATATGAGACATCAATGGGATCAGATAGGTGCTTCCCTCCTCCAGTTCGAGAAGATGAACCAACATTGTTTCTAAACCCATCACATAAGAATCTCATTTCCTCTCACCAGTAACTGATTTAGAATTGGATATGTAACCAGTTCTCACTAATTGAACATGTAGAGTCAGTCTGAGTTGCAGGGAATGATCTTCCACAGATAAAAGAGAGAGACTGGTAGAAAAGACCCTGCTCTTCTGCTTTTTTGTTGCCTATGATGTTTAGACCTAATGCAGTCATCTGTGGCCATAATAGAAGAAATAATCAGAAAGAAAATGACCTAAAACACAGACATTTGGCCTACAGAATAAGACTCCCTCTAGAATTCACATAGTAACCACCTCCCTCTAAAACTCACATAGTAAATGTCTTCATTACTTAAGCCATGATTTATATGGAAATTCTGTTAACTGTAGCTGAGAAAGCATCTTATCTGAAGCATATAGCTAGGTAGGTATTCTAAAGAACAATTCTGTCACATCTAAACAAAGATTTCCACCATAACTTTTTAAAATTTGACACAGAACATGCTATAGCTTAATTACTTGTTTTTTTAAATGGTGTGTCATTTTCATTAATTTGATAGCCTTTAGAAAGCAGCATCCTGAGCAATAAGAAGTCACCTGCACTCTGGTCAATACAAAGTTGTAAAAAAAAAAGTAAACTATTAGAAATACATCATAGGGGAAAAGAGCTCTAATATGATTTGGCTGTGTCCCCACCCAAATCTCACTATCAATTGTAATAATCTCCACATGTCAAGGGCAGAGCCAAGTGGAGATAATTGAAACATGGGGGTAGATTCTCCCATACTGTTCTCATGGTAGTGAATACGTCTCACAAGATCTAATGGTTTTATAAATTGAAGTTCCCCTGTATAAGGTCTCTTGCCTGCCACCACATAAGATGTGACTTTGCTTCACATTCACCTTCTGCCATGATTGTGAGGCCTCACCAGCTATGTGGAACTGTGAGTTAATTACATCTCTTTCCTTTATAAATTACCCAGTCTTGGATGCATCTTTATTAGCAGTGTGAGAGCAGCCTAATACAAGTCCTAGGAAACTCCAGAATCAGTACACACTCTTTCCAGATTCTCTACATCTTCCATTTGCAGTTACAAGAAACTGCACAACTTCCCATTTGTAGATCTGGATTTCCATATACATCGTGTTGGGGAAATCAAATCAACCACCCCACAAGGCAGTTCTAGGAATAAATCAGATGATGATGATGTTTGGTACTTTAGGTAAAATCTCTAACAATTCAGGGCATTACTTTAAAAGAAACTCATTTAGCATTAATTTTATATGTAAACATTAACAAGCCAGAAAGTAAAAGACCTAATGGAAAGGGCCACTTAAACTACCATATTTTATTTGATTTTAAAATCTCAGGAAAATGTGGAAAGAAAGAATATATCTAGATAAGAAGGTGGTATGAGTACAGCTGAGAGAAATCATTCAAATAGCATTTGTTTTGAGACACTTATCTATCTAGGTCTAGATTATTCCCCTGTAACAATGCTTTCCTAAAACAGAGCTTTGCATCAGAATTGCCTGAAGTGGTCTGTGTATGAATTTATCTTTAATAGTTTCCAAGTTCTGGCCCTAAGTCTGAATCAGCAGGTCTAAATGGGGACCCCATTTATATATTTGATATAGATACACAGACATAATGAGAGAGAAAGAGAGCATGCACTAAAAATCTCCCTACTTGTTATACTATTTTACTTTTGTATATGTTTTAAATGGCTTATTAGATGGAAGGGGGAAAAAAAGAGTCCCTAAATGGGATGCATAACCATGTAGCCACTGAACCAAGTTCCCAGAGGAACCATGGATCCTATATACCTATTCTTACCCACCCACAGAACAATGTGATTTTACTCCTGTGAATTAGAAAATGAGAAAAAAGTATCAAGTAGGTTTTCTTAATAAAAGCCTTTCCCAAAGTGAAAGCTTTCCAATTCTACTAACCCTAATTTAGATAGATCTTATCAAATATAAAGTTTTCCAAATAGAGAAGATACGTTCAACTTTAAGGATTTCTACCTAAACATGGTAAATAGTGATCATGAATAGTATCTGCTTTGAGAATAAAATGTAATAAATACTTATGATTTCCCCAGTACTATCTTTTCCAGAATTATCGATAAGCTAATATTATTTCTGTTTGAAGAATGCACTTACGGGGAGGTAACTATTTAGGACACTACAGTAATTCAAGAGAGGAGTGTCGTATTTGCCACCAATTTGTAGCTTATCAAATTCTTAAATATTTATTTTTCACAGAACTCTTTCATGCCCAACCCAACTTCATGTTCATCACTCACTTAGGTACCTCTACCTAGAATTTGACTGTATTATCATGTACTTCAATTTTCCACAAATTTCTGTACATAAATCAGATTATTGGCAGTAACCACGTATTCTACATATATATGTCTAGGTCCAATTTAATACTGTAAAGCATAGTTGTTATACTAATGCTAAATTTTATAATTCCAAACATGAAATTATCCGGGTATTACAAAGCATTCTAAATGTTCTCAAAATCCCATAAAAGTAAAATTGTGACAGATATTGATCTGATAAAATACAATGGGAAATAAATGTGTACTCATGAAAGCAAATTTGAAAAAATGATTGGTATATTTTACACTCCGTAAACTATAAAAATTGTATGACTAAATATCAAAGTTTTGTTTATAGGTGTATTCTTTAAAGAGCAATAATTCTTAGCCACTTCCAGCTTTTTTCAAGGGTAGGATATAAGATTTACACATGAAATAATTTCATAGAACACCTTATTAAAATCTTACCTCTGGTCTCCACACACACACACAAAAAGGTAATCAGATTAAAATGAAAGAGTACCTTTGTTAAGCCAATCTAAATTTCCTCCAACTAAGAAAAATGGTAACAATCCTTCATCTAATTTCAAGTGCCAGCCACCCAGGATATTTCTCAATTGTTATATACCGTAGAACAGTGGTAATAAAATAATGACAACATAGTTTACACTCATTTGGAAACTGCTGCTCTAGAGATGTCAGGTCTCTGTAATAACTATATATGAACATATGGCATATACTGCTACAGAGTAACTTCTTCTGGTAAGCCATTATTTATTCCTTCTATTAAGCAAATAATTTTCCATGCCTTAATTTGTCATTTCCATGATTTAATTAAATCATTTTAAATTTATTGATGTTGTACATATTGGTAACGCTCCTCAAATTCATTTAAAAAGATAACACAAAAGAATGAAAAAGTGATAAAGCCAATTTACCTATCCTTCCTATCTTTCCTACACTTCCTCTGGCATAGTTATTAATTGATCAAGTAGAGGTACCCAAAGGAGTAGAAACTGACCAATAACAAAATAATCCTGAAAACAGGGCTAAGTAGTTCCTATTTCCTGGGAAATAGGAAAACTGACTTAAAGTCAGTCAATTAGACCTCTTGATTTGCTAACCCATTCCCCACAGCCAGGCCATAATAATGCCCCTATGCAGTATTAGTTTAACTAGCAGTATATATGGGACATCAGGAAACATTTTGGGGCATGGGAATAGAAGAGGAGAGGGAAAGGTGAGTGCAGTCCTTAAAAACAAAGGATTAAATAAATGTCTGCCTACTGAAAAGAGAATTTCCCCACCTCAACCCAAGACCACTGTTCAGCTACAAGGATACTGGCAGCCAGATGTACAGGGTTAGTCACAAAAGGAAATTACAATTTTTCTTCTAGCAAACTGGAAAAAAAAATACAGCTAATGTGGGAGTCACACAATTAAAAAGTGGCTTTCTACATCGTCACACTAAAGTGAAGCCCCACGTCAAGAAATTCGCCCCATTTACACAGAGGACTTTCAATCATCGTCACTTTAGAACTTCACTCTTTAAAAAGAACAGACACAAAAAAATGATGAGCCGTTCACAGAAACCCTTTAACATAACAAGAGATTAAAACAAGCAAACAGAAAAAACAGAACTTTGAAGAAATGCTGGGACTAAAGAAATCATCCAAAGAACCTATCTATAAATACACTGCAGTCATGAACTAAGAGCAGAGTTCTTTAAAAGAGATATTTGGAGAATGAGAAATAACTTTTACAAATAAGAATAAAGAGATCAAAAGTTAAAGCTTCAACAGAGGAGCTAGAAGATAAAATTAGGGAAATATTCCAGAATTTTTTCAGAGCATAAAAGATTGGAATATTAAAAAACCAGTCCAATAGATCCAGTATCTAAACCACAGACGTTCCAGAAAAAGAAAAGAGAAAATGAGGGGTAAAAAATATATCAAAGATATAACACACACCCCAAACTTGAAATACATGGGTTTCCATATGAAAAGGGCTCACCAAGCAAATACCCAGCACATAGAACAAAAAGATCTACATTAAGGTTCATCATCATAAAATTTCAGAAGGCTCAGGTAAAGAAAACCCTAACAGTTACCAGAAAGAGAAAATGATTGCATATTTGCCTTGATTGGAATGGCTTCAGCCCCATATCCACATCCAGTCATCTCACAAAGCAAGGGATGAATACATAAGCACAATTAAG